GCACTAGATAACAAGAATAAAACAGCCCTAGAGCGTGTGTAACTCTGAATGCCTCATCCAGTTGCTAGAACTTTTTCCTTAGGGAAAACGAATGAATCGCCTCACCCTCAGACTCGGGAACCACAGCCGGAGAATCATTCATCCATAATTGCTCGCAAAGGGAACCAGAGCGGGAGAGATGGGGCGGATCTGTAAATCCACCCACCAGCTCCTGACCTTTGTGGCAGAATTCAGCCTCCCACACGGTGTCATCCCAGGGCGGCAGACAGATGGGTGGGCAGGCAGACCTGCTGCAGGCTTTCATCAGCTTTGGGCCAGTCCCCTTGTGGTTACAACTATGGGCGGATACTAGGAGGGGGAGGCTTATGCAAAACTGCACGTAGTTCAGTTTTTGCTGTCTGTTTCATAAAGGGAGTAGGGGGAGGGAGGCTGCCTCCCCTTTACTATAAATCAAGGCCTGCAAAAATAGGACAACTCTAAGGAGCGGGAGGAGGAAGAGGGGAGGAGGAAAGGGATAAGGAGGACAGAGAAACTGGGGGTGGGGGAGAGATGGAAGAACGTGATAGAAGAAGAAGGAACAGAGAGAAGGGAAGGAGAGAGAGTATGTGAGGCATGATGAGCACCAAAGAGAGATAAGGAGAAAGAGAAATGCTTGGCACTTCACAAATACATAAAAGCAATTGAGGAACTCAAAAAGGAAAAGGTATTACTGAGGTGAGTTTGCAAGCAATGCAGTGGGCAGGGCTTGAGCCCCAGCAAAGGTGACCGCGCGCAGCTCAGGCTGGCTGGGAGGCTCCAAGCCTGCGGCGGCCACCCTCCAAGGGCTGAGCCGGCCGGGAGCTGTCCAGATTCCTGGTGCTGAAATGACCAGGTGCTCACCAGCTTCTCAGGCAGGACTGCTCAGGTATTCAACTACTTGTTAAGCACCTACTGTTTGCCAGCCATTGTTCCAAGGGCTGAGGAAAGCTGTACTGAATAAGACAGGGAAAAGTCCCTGTCCTTATGAAGCTTAAATTGTATGGGAGGAGACAAGATAGTAGAATTTTCCATGTTAGAAAAGGTCAAGTTCTATGGAAAGGAGGAAGAGAATGAGTTTAGCAAATGCACCCCCAAACAGTGGTCACAGAGAGGTGACACAGTGGTGCAGGATGCCCAGGCTGGGAGTGAGCCCCCACGTAAAGGATGTGCTGACATTGGGTCACAGGTCACAGAGGCTCTCAGCTGGGCAATCTGTCAGGGGCCAGACCCCAATTCCAGCCAGCTGCCTGTTCTCTCTCTGGGGGCCTCTCATTCCTCCAACCTCAGGCCATCTGGGCCCCGACTGTGCCTGAGAAATGGATTTCCACCCACTGTGTACAGCACCAGCTTAAACTTGGATGATTTGAGACCCTGTCACTGGGTCAACTCGGGCAACTCACTACCTTACTCTGGCCTTCATTTACTCATCTATAATAGGGACAGTGATCCTTGCCTAGTGATCCTTGCCAAGTTTGAGGAGGTACCAAGGAGAAAGTGATGGCCGAGTTCTCTCTGCTGTACACATGGGGGGATTCCCCCTCACTAGGGTCTCATTCTTCAGAGTCCCCACTGCTCACCACAGGGTCTAATCCTGTAGACACTGAATGAATGAAGTAAGTGGCAGCAATGCTTGGCTGATATTCACCGAGGGCTGTACTGCTTTACCCTTCACACTGCAGCCCTGTTCCTGAAGAACACTAACCTTGGGGGTACGCAGGAGCCCAGATGGCAGCCCAGGGGGAACAGGGGCTGAAGCCCATGTCTGAGTGGGTTCCGCAGTGAGGGCCGATGTGGGCGACACTTGGGGACAAGAAGGGCCTGTGGTCTAATAAGTTTGGGGAAGTCGGCACCTCTGGGAGATTCCCGATGCTCATCACCACGTCCAGGCTCCAAGGGTTGCCCCAAGAGCCCTGTTTAACTCCTTTAACTGTGAAATTCTTCTTTTCCTCTCCTTTTTTAGGAACACTTATCACCATCCTCAAGAAGTTGCCCTGGGAAATGCTGCCCTGGGATTTGGGAAGGACTTGAGAACCCTTGTCCCAGGGAGGCAATTTTAGAGGTTTATGGGGTTCTGAACCTCCGTGTTTTGCGTGTGCCTATCACATAGTAGGCACTCAGTAAACATGTGAAGAATGGATGAATGGATGAATGAATGAATATGTTGTTCTACTCACTTTCAAATGGTAAGAATTGAGGGCAGGAAGATGAAAGTGATTTGAGACTCAAGGACTCAGGGCAGGATCATTTTTAGTCCCCTCTAGACCACAAGTTTGGCTGGAGAACTGATGGAATTTATTCATCCATCCATTCATTCACCCAATGACAACTCGGAGTGGTAAGTGTGATGTGGTGGATTAGCACTGGGGACCATGGAGGGGATAACTGACTACATGTAGGGGTAAAACGGATGGCTTCCTGGAGGTGAGCCTGAAGGGCCCTTTGGGGGGCACTGACCCCAGGACTCCCACCCTCATGTCATTTTCCCCAGCCACATGAATCATGCTTGGGACTTCTTGCTTAGAATCTCATGTTTGTGGCCCCCCAGCCTTGACAGAATCCATCTTGGCCCCTCCCCTCTTTTACCCAGCCTCTGCTACCACTCTCCCTTGCTGTCAGCTGCTTGTCAGCCTCCCCACACCCAGAGGATGCATCTGCATTACGCAGATGACTGAAAAGACCCAAAGGAACAGGGCTCTAATGGCAAGATTCCAAGCAGAATGACAAGTAATGGGGAGCCATGTGAGAGCATGGGAGTCCTCTTGAGCCCCCCAAATGCCATTCTCAGAAGCCTCAGACCAGACACTCACCTCCATCCTCCACCAACTGCAAAGGTGCCCTTCTGCCCCCTGTAAACTGGAGCATGGCTGGATCTTTAAACAGGGGAAAAATGCTTCATCATGTTCTGCTTCTCCATGCAAAACCAGAAACTCCCTTCCCCCTCCCTCCTCCTCCCCAGCGCACTCTCCTCCCTGTAAAACGTGGTTAAAGGGACAGCGCCATCACTTCCCCATCTCTGAGGGTCTGCTTAGAACCAGGGGTCTGGGAGTGAGGTGGAGGGCAAAGAGAAAAGAACTGGCATAGGTCTTTCCTAGGGTATTTTTCTGTCTCCATCCTGGGGATCCTACAGAATGAAAACCATGTTAAACTGGAAATGTAGTGGGGTTTGGGTTAACTGCCTGAGGGAGGCTCAGGTCTGGGAGGGGAGTCTACACTGACTCCCCAGGAGGTCTCAAGGTTCCCTCCTGGCATCTGGCATCTAGGGGTGTCCCTTCAGCTCCCAATGGAGAGGCAAGACAGCCCAGATGTGTACGTGGGAGAACGTCACAGAAAACAGGGGACCGGATCCCTAGCAGAAGGTCAAGGGGCTGGGTCTCTGGCTGCCGGTGTTTCTCCACTGGATCATTCACCCATCCCTCCTCAGCTCCCTATCTGCATAACACAGGGATCCGGCCAGGGGGAGATGGCATTCCTCCGTCCCATCCCTCAAGGGAAAGGCAGAGGCTAATTAACCCCTTCCTCCCCAACAATGAGCAGTAGGCCCTGTCCCTGGTGCTGAAGCACCAGCCGCAGCGCCGCCCCCACTCCCAAGGCACTTGACAGGAGCCAAACCCAAGAAAAAGCCAAATAACCACCAGCTGTTGCAGGGCCCTCCAAATACCAGGGTCCTCTTTTCTACGTGAATTAGGGTTTATGGGGGTGAAGGACTCTGGTACCCTGAAAGCATCCCACCACTTCTCTGGGGGGGAGAAGGGAAATCTATCATGGCACCCACTTGTCTGTTGTGGGTGTCGGGGAGAGACTACAAGTTGAAGCTGAGGAGATGGGGAGGGGAAAGGAACAAAGATGGACTTCCTAGTTGTGGGAAAGTGGCTGCTATATCCACGGGCAGTAGGAGGTTCTCCTCCCCCAATTCTGCCAGAGATCCCCCAAGTCAGAAGCTGCTGGGGGAGCAGGGGGTCTCAAGTTGCAGCCTGACCCAGGGCAAGGTCCTTTCTCTGTAAAGATGGGAAAACCGAGTGGGGGGGATGGGGGACAACTTGTCCAAGGTCATTTGCCAGCAACTGTGGAGCTGACCTCAGTGTGCAGACCCTGGCCTGAGTGACTCCTAGCCCTCCTGTCACTTCCCCAGCTCCCCACAGGCATCAACTCTCCCAGCTTCATGCCAAGTTCCCCGCAGCACGCCCACTCTTGGTTCTCTGACCCTCACACACCCTGCCTTTACAGGGGACCCTCTGCCACTTTACTGAGGGCCCTCCTTGCTGGGGCCGGTTGTAGGGTCTCCTGCCTCCTATCCTGCGGAGACCACTGTGTCCCCCAATCCAGGCTTCCCTTCTCCATCCTCTGCAGTGTCTCCCACACGCCCAATTCAGGGCAGCCTTGTTGCCCTCCCCAACTCCAGGTCCTCCCCCTCCATTCCGGAGCCGGCTGCAAAGTTCCTTGAGCCCTCTCCTGGTGGCCCCTCTAGCTACTAGGGGAACAGTGTACCTCCACTCAGGGGTTTTCTACCTCTACCCTCTGTAGTGCCCACTATGCTTCCATTCAGGATTACTTTTCTCCCTCCCCTGTTCCGGGCCGGCTGCAGACACTCTGCATCCCCTATCCTGAAGGTCTAACTATGAGGAAAAACCTGTGCTCCCTCTCATTCGGGGGTCCTCTCATCCTACCGAGTTTTCTATCGCTCCATCCCGAAGGCATCCTGCCCCTATTCCCATCAGGTCTCCTTGCTCTCCCCCCATTTCAGGCTCCTTCTTTAATTCCGAACATAGTAGCAGGGTCTCCCGACCCGCACCAGGGGGCTCCCCTTCGGTCCACTCCGGGAGTCCTCTACCGCCTGACTCTGCTTCGGGGGTGCTTCTCTGACGCTGCGTCGTCGATTCCCCTCCACTCCTTGGTTTCCCTGCCCCGCCCCTCTCACTGCGGCGGAGCCAGCCGGCCCCGGGCCGCTGGGGGAGGAGGCGGAGAGGGCGGGGCCCTCCTCCCCTGCTCACCCCCCCAGCAACTGCTGAGGGGCTGGACCCCGCCGGGCTGCTATAAAAGGGCCGGCCGGCCGGGTGCTACCGCAGTGCCGCCCGCCCCGTCCCGGCCTCGGGTTCCCACTCCGCCGGCAGCCGCACCTGCTCCGGCCAAGATGAGCTTCAGCGGCGCTGAGGCGCTGCTGGGCGCCTTCGCGCCGCTCCACGGAGGCGGCAGTCTGCACTACGGGCTGACTCGCAAGGGCGGCGCGCGCTCTGCAGCCGGCTCCTCCAGCGGCTTCCACTCATGGGCGCGGACGTCCGTGAGCTCCGTGTCGGCCTCGCCGAGCCGCTTCCGCGGCGCGGGAGCCGCCTCCAGCACCGACTCGCTAGACACGCTGAGTAACGGACCGGAGGGCTGCGTGGTGGCGGCGGCGGCGGCGCGCAGCGAGAAGGAACAGCTGCAGGCGCTGAACGACCGCTTCGCGGGCTACATCGACAAAGTGCGGCAGCTCGAGGCACATAACCGCAGCCTGGAGGGAGAGGCGGCGGCGCTGCGGCAGCAGCAGGCGGGCCGCGCCGCCATGGGCGAGCTATACGAGCGCGAGGTGCGCGAGATGCGCGGCGCTGTGCTGCGCTTGGGCGCGGCCCGCGGCCAGCTGCGCCTGGAGCAAGAGCACCTGCTGGAGGACATCGCGCACGTGCGCCAGCGCCTAGACGACGAGGCTCGGCAGCGCGAGGAGGCTGAGGCGGCGGCGCGCGCACTTGCGCGCTTTGCGCAGGAGGCCGAAGCGGCGCGCGTCGAGCTGCAGAAGAAGGCTCAGGCCCTGCAGGAAGAGTGCGGCTACCTGCGGCGTCACCACCAGCAGGAGGTGGGCGAGTTGCTCGGCCAGATCCAGGGCAGCAGCGCCGCGCAGACTCAGGCGCAGGCCGAGGCGCGCGACGCCCTCAAGTGCGACGTGACGTCGGCACTGCGCGAGATCCGCGCGCAGCTGGAAGGCCACGCAGTGCAGAGCACGCTACAGTCCGAGGAGTGGTTCCGAGGTTCGCAGGCGAGCGGGGACAGGGAGGATGGGGCGCCCTCTGTTGGTCGGTCAGTGAGGGGAAGGGTGGCGTGACTTAGGGTGCTGGTGGACTCTGTGTAGAGGTGGCTGGACTGGATGGTGCGCTGCTCAGCTTCCTCCTGCAGAGCGCATGCCCCTTAGTTAAAAAACAGTTTTACTCTGGGTCTCTTGTGGAACACCCCCCCTTCCCCCCAACTCTAGGTTCTCCTTTGGCCTTCTCCAGGGTCCTTATATCTGCCCTTCAACTCTGGGTCCTCTCTGCTCCTTCTCCCGAGTTTTGGTAACCCCACTATGAGGCCCCTCTTCATCAGGTTCCCTCTACTGCTCCAGAGCGGTGCCGGCTTCTAGTCGCTGGGGCGCTCTTTGCCCTTCAAAGTAACATGGCTTCCCTGTCCAATGCTGCCCGCCCCCTTTCTTGCACACTGCAGGGAACCCTATTCTGACACCTATCGGGCTCCTCCCCACTACAGTTGGGGAGGGTGGGTCATTCTCACATTCTTTCTCCCCAGGGGGACCACCATTACAACCAATTGGTGCCTGAAGCTGAAGTGGCTTGTGGGCCCTTTAATGTCCTTGCTCCCCTTCAGAAAAGCCGGGAGCCTCCCAAACCCATCTCCCTCCCCCAACTCCGTGCCACCCCGAGTCAGCTAGGTTGCAGCTGCAGCAGCTTTGAAGCTGTGCGCAGCACCTGCAGGGTGACTTTGACCAACACGTGCCCTCTCTGGTTTTCATTTCTTTTGGGGTTGAAAGGGGGGTCGACTAACTGGGCTTCTTACCCTGGGGAGCTCCATGAGCCTTCCTGAAACTGTCTGTAAAACTTCTGCATTGTTCTTGGGAGAGGGTACAGAGGCTTCAGTGATTTTCAGACAGGTCTGTGATCCACAGTGCGTAAGAATCCTCACCCACTTGGATGGTTTCTAAGTCTTTGCCAGTACTAGCAGAGAAAAACCAGAAAAGCTGGGATTTTGATGCATTGCTTTTCCAGTTCCTTCCTCTCCTCTGCAGTGGCAGAACCATCCCCTCCCCCATCTCTGCAGCAAGGCTCCTCCCAAAGCAAACCTCTCTGCTCTCTTGGGCGTTGCCCTTCATCCATCTCAGGACTTCTGGACCACCCAGCTGGCATCCCTTATTCCTCCCCCACTCCCAAGACTCAGGTCCTGAATGTCATTATCTCAGGATTCAGGATGTCCACATTCAGGAGGTTCAGACTAGCCTCCAGACCCCCACTGGTCCCTGAAAAGTCTTCTGGGAACCTGCAGCCCATTGCTCACAGGGGCCAGGGTGTGGCTGCCATTGGCACAGGGGCTCCTGTGCTAGAGAATGCGCAACAAGGGGGAGGAAGGGACAGAGGAGCTGGCACGCAGGCCCCAGGCTCTGCAGTGACCTTGGTCTCTGCAAAGCAGAAACCTGCAAGGAAGGGGCTATGGCTACATCGTGGCTCACGGCGCCCTCATGCCTCTAAAGGTCACAGACTCATTAACTTGTTCAACCACAAGCTCAGAGTTAAGCCCTATGGGTCAGGTTTCACATATGACCCTCAGCACTGCCAGCCTTTGCTGGGGAGCTGAACCAGGAGGACCAGAAATGTGGGCTTCTTTTGCCCTGCAGAGTTTCCAGATCCTGAGTTTGGGGAGACAATGTGATCTTTGGAGCCAGATAGACACTAGATCTGAATCCCAGCTCTGCTGCTCAAACTGGCCTACCGGCCTTGGGCAGTGGTCATTTGCCTATCACAAAGGATACGGTGAGTTAAGCATCCAAGATGGCACCGGCACTCAGTAGGTCCTCAACCCATGTGTGTCACCTTCCAGATCTGGGCAGTAGAATCCAAATCCAGTTGTGTCTAACCCTGTGCCCTACTCCCTTCTCTCCCAGTGAGACTGGACCGATTGTCAGAGGCAGCCAAGGTGAACACAGACGCCATGCGCTTGGCACAGGAGGAAATAACTGAGTACCGGCGGCAGCTGCAGGCCAGGACCACAGAGCTGGAGGCGCTCAAAAGCACCAAGGACTCACTGGAGAGGCAGCGCTCTGAGCTGGAGGACCGTCATCAGGCTGACATCGCATCCTACCAGGTGGGCAGGGGTGGGGCAGAGAGCCAGATTGTCTCACCTGGTTGGGTGACCCTGGACAAGTCATTGCCCCTCTTTGAGTGGGGTCATCGTAGTTAAGACCATGGGCCTTGGAGTCAGACATACCAGGGGTACCAGTATGTCTTTCTAGCCGTGTGACCCCAGGAAAGTGTCTGCCTCTCTGACTCTGAATTCCCTCAATGCAATGGGAAAAAAAAAAAAGCCTCCTTTGCAGAGCTATGAAGCTTAAAGAGAGAGACGACCTTTTCGTGTGAGGAGTGAGTGTGCTCAGCAGGGTCTTGGTCATGTGGGCATTCAGTAAACAATAACCAGTGTCTATGAGTGAGGGTAGCCTGGGGAAGGCCTTGGCAGATACCTCCCGTTAAAGACAACTGCCAAAAGAAAATATCGCTTTTAAAGAGCTTATTATGCAAGTAATATATGGTGATTGTAGAAAAAGGAGGCAATAAAAATCAGCCATACTGATTCACTTCAAGCAGTGGCTAAGTGGCCTTGGGGTCAGGGGAGAAGCTTCAGCTCGTATTGAGCGTGCTTCTGTGTATTGTCTCGGTCAACAGATGCCTCCCAAGCCTGTACTGTGTGGCAGGCACTTTGGAGCACTGGGGAAAGGATAGGGAGCCAAAGCAGACAAGGCCGTGTTCCCACTGAGCTCTTTCTAAGCTTAAGATCTGTAAAAATTCACCCATCATCCCACTGACCTGTGATGACCATTGTTGGTGTCTGGTGTGTTTCGTTCCAGACCACTCCCCAGGCTGAGGTTATACACACAGCAGGAGTTTTGTGCCAGGTGGCTTTCACGTCCATGAATGAGATCCGTAGCTTTCACTGGGTGGGGGTTGGCCCCAGCACGCCCGGCTGAACAGGACTACGTTGGGTTTGCATAGCCCGCCCCAGCTCCTCCGGTGCTGAGGGCCAGAATGCTGACTGGCACGTGACATGTATGTGACTTCTCCTCCCCAGGAAGCCATCCAGCAGCTGGATGCTGAGCTCAGGAACACCAAGTGGGAGATGGCAGCCCAGCTCCGAGAGTACCAGGACCTGCTCAATGTCAAGATGGCTCTGGATATTGAGATTGCTGCTTACAGGTGAGGGGCCAGGGGGCCTTTGGGTGGTGCTTCTTAGAAGGAGAAGCCTTGGATTTTAAGCCCCACAGTGAGGTAGCCTGCCAGTCTTAGAGACAAAAAAAAAAATTTTTTTTTTCGTATTGCGGTGAAATGTATATAACAGAAAATTTACCATTTAACCATTTTTAAGTATACAGTTCAGGGGCATTAAAAATATTTACATTATTGTGCAATCATCACCATCATCTATGTCCAGACCGTTTTTCATCTTCCCAAACTGAAATTCAGTGCTCATTAAACAGTAACTCTCCACTCCCTTCCCTTCCTTCCCCCCAGCCCTGGCAACCACCATTCTACCTTTTGAGAGACAAATATCTTGAGAGTGACTTAGTTTCATTCTGACAGTGATTCAGAGGGTTAAACCTCCTCACCCTCTTCCCAAATCCAGCCAGCTAGAGGTTGGCTTGGAGGGAAAGGAGGTACTTGAGTTGTCAAGGGCCTTCACAACTCTACCTCTTAGAGATTCCTAGCTCTCTGGGCAGTTGTTTCCTGGGGAAATAAAATAGGGGTGATAATAACAGTACCCACGTCCTGGGATTGTTGGGAGGAGGTGCTAATCCTGTTCCTGAGCTAATCCAGGTAACACAGGTACCACTGGGCTGCCACAGAGAAAGCCCTCAGTAAAAAGTAGCCATGAGAAAGCCAAGAGACCTCCCAGCTTAGCAGTTTACTGCTAAGGAACAGGGCTGACCCTGTGAAGACCTGTCCCAGTTGTTGGCTAATGACCCTTCACTTCCCACGTCTTGGCTCTAATCTGTAGTCTTGCTACTCAAAGTGTTGTCCATGGAGTAGCACAATCAACATTATCTGAAAGCTGGTTAGAAAGGCACCCCAGACCTGTTGAATCAAAATCTGCATTTTAATCAGATCCCTGGGTGATTTGCATGCCGTTAAATTTGCAAAGCACTGGTCTGTGTGGGTAACCCCTACACTTACTCTGAGGTAGGTATTGCCAGGTTTTTTTAATTTATTATTTCACTGAAACAACCCTCTGAGGTTAGGACTCTTAATGACCCTGTTTTTACCAATGAGGAGACTGAGGATGAAAGAGTTTGAGTGGCTTAGCTAAAGTCACACATCTAGTGAGTAGGAAAGAGTGGAAACTGCCCCCACCATGTTCCTAAAACCCAAAGGATGAGACTATAAGGTAACAGGAGACCCTTGAAATTCAAATGGGAACATTCTAAGACCTCTTAAACCCAGGTTTATACATGTGGAATTCCTTGCTCATATTTCCACCTTTCTCTTGAATAACATTTTAGTTGAGGGACAATAAGTATAAATGTTGTTAATATAGGTGTTTTCTCTTGAGGGCCATTTTTTCAGGAGAAAAAGTTTTATAAATTGCAACCTTAGCTGCATTAAACAAGAGCAGTGCCATTGGGGTGTGGATTCTGGGTGGTCCCTGGGATGATCTGCTAAGTGACCTTCTCCAGTCTCAAAGTGCCCACCATTCACACCCCTTCCTCCACCAAAGTGCATATCACTGGATGCGGTGGACCTTCAGAGTAGCTCAGGAAGCCCCCTAACTTATTGATCAGCTCTGAGTTAATAGTAACGTGTTCCATTATCCATTCTGCAGAAAACTCCTGGAGGGTGAAGAGTGTCGGATTGGCTTTGGCCCGAGTCCTTTCTCCCTTCTAGAAGGACTCCCCAAAATCCCTGCCATATCCACTCATATAAAAGTCAAAAGCGAAGAGAAGATCAAGGTGGTAGAAAAGTCAGAGAAGGAAACTGTGATTGTGCAGGAACAGACAGAGGAGGTCCAGCTGACTGAGGAAGTGACTGAAGAAGAAGAGAAAGAGGCCAAAGAGGAGGAGGAAGGGGGAGAAGAAGCAGCAAAATCTCCCCCAGCAGAAGAGGCCACATCTCCAGAGAAAGAGGAGGCCAAGTCCCCAGTGAAGGAAGAAGGCAAGTCCCCAGAAAAGGCTGAGTCCCCTATGAAAGAAGAAGCAAAATCACCAGCTGAGGCCAAGTCTCCTGAGAAGGCCAAGTCCCCAGAAGGAGTGAAGTCTCCAGAGAAGGCCAAGTCCCCAGAGAAGGAAGAGGCCAAATCCCCAGAGAAGGCCAAATCCCCAGAGAAGGAAGAGGCCAAATCCCCAGAGAAGGCCAAATCCCCTGTGAAGGAAGAGGCCAAATCCCCAGAGAAGGCCAAGTCCCCTGTGAAGGAAGAGGCCAAATCCCCAGAGAAGGCCAAGTCCCCAGAGAAGGAAGAGGCCAAATCCCCAGAGAAGGCCAAGTCCCCAGTGGAGGTGAAGTCCCCAGAGAAGGCCAAATCCCCAGAGAAGGAAGAGGCCAAATCCCCAGAGAAGGCCAAGTCCCCAGTGGAGGTGAAGTCCCCAGTCCCCAGTGGAGGTGAAGTCCCCAGAGAAGGCCAAGTCCCCAGTGAAGGAAGAGACCAAATCCCCAGAGAAGGCCAAGTCCCCAGTGGAGGTGAAGTCCCCAGAGAAGGCCAAGTCTCCCGTGAAGGAAGAAGCAAAGTCCCCGGAGAAGGCAAAAAGCCCTGTCAAGGAGGAGGCCAAATCCCCAGGGAAGGTCAAGTCTCCTGTGAAGGAGGTCCCAAAGAAGGAGGAGGCAAAGTCCCCCATGAAGGAGGAAGAGAAAGCCCAGGAGGTGAAAGCCAAAGAGCCCCCAAAGAAGACAGAGGAAGAGAAAGCTCCAGCCACACTGAAAACTGAGGAGAAGAAGGACAGCAAGAAAGATGAGGTGCCCAAGAAGGAGGCTCCAAAGCCCGAGGTCCAGGAGAAGAAGGACCCTGCTGTGGAAAAGCCCAAAGAACCCAAAGCTGAAGCCAAGAAGGAAGAGGCTGAAGATAAGAAAAAAGCAACCACCCCAGAGAAGGAGGCTGCTGCCAAGGGGAAGGAAGAAGCCAAACCCAAAGAGAAGACTGAGGTGGCCAAGAAGGAACCAGATGATGCCAAGGCCAAAGAACCCAGCAAAGCAGCAGAGAAAGAGCCGGAAAAGCCAAAGAAGGAAGAGACGCCAGCGGCACCTGAGAAAAAAGATGCCAAGGAGGGGAAGGCCACAGAGGCCAAGAAGCCTGAGGAGAAACCCAAAGCAGAGGCCCAAGCCAAGGAGCCCAGCAAGGAGGCCTCCACACCAGGCAAAGCCAAGGCAGAAAAGGCTGAGAAATCCTCTAGCACAGACCAGAAAGACAGCAGGCCTCCAGAGAAGGCCACAGAAGACAAGGCCACCAAGGGAGAGAAGTAAGGCAGGGAGAGAGGAACATCCAGAGCAGCCAAAGAAACTCAGGAGGGTCTGGGAGCTCAAGGGTCGGTGTAACCAATTTTCATTTTTTCTCCCTTTTCTTTAAGAAGAAACTCTGCTTAGACTATGGGCCCTCCTTCACCAAACAGGAATTTCTTTTAGCAATGTGTTAGCAAGAGAGGGTCCTTCCAAACCCCGGCCCCATGCCCCAAACGCTCCCTAGGCAATGGACAATTATGTTATGATAGCTTATGTAGCCGAATGTGATATATGCAGAATGCCACATGTAAACACTTGACTATAAAAACTGCCCCCTCCTCTCCAAATAAGTGCATTTATTTCCTGTATGTGCAACTGACAGATGACCGCAATAATGAATGAGCAGTTAGAAACACATTATGCTTGAGATGTCTTAACCTATTCCTGAATGCCTTCTGTTTTCCAAAGGAGTGGTCGAGCCCTTGCCCAAAGCTCTCTGTCCTGGAAGAGCTGGAGCAGGTGGGGCTGGGCGCTGGCCACTGAACCATGCCAGGGCGCACTTTTCCACTGGAGTCCACTTTCAATTGCTTCTGTGCAATAAAACCAAGTGCTTATAAAATGAAAATGCTGCTGTTGTTATTTACTCTTTTCCCGCGGGCAGGCTGGGGGATGGGTGAGGGAGGTCTTGATCTCACTCTTAAGAATGCACAGGACTGAATGGGAATCAGAGGTCGTGTGCGGGTCTGGGACCAGTTACAAGGCCTCTCGTGGGCTATTTCCCGGGCACAAACCATGTGCCAGGCAATGTGCTCAGTGCTTTATCTTTAAAATCTTGTAGACAGGTGGACTGGTGTGTGGTTTCTCAGTGAGGTCCATGGACCACCTACATAAGCATCATCTGGGAGCCTTATAAATATGCACACTCCTTGATTCCACCCTAGACCACTGAATCAGAATCTGAGGGGTAGGCCTGGGACAGTGAATGCTTCACCAAGTCCCACTTGATTCTAATGCACGCTGAAGTCTGGGAACAGGTGAGGTCCTGAGGACACTGAGCCATCTATTTAAGAGTTCTGCATGTGTCCTTTTTTGTAAGGAGGGATGAGCTTTCTGAATGAGGGGCCATAGGTAGCTAATTCATCTGTAGTGAAGACTACAGTCACCACTATTGGGAACAATTTGTCAATAGTCACTTAACTGGACTCCAACATGCTTCTCCAGACACAAGTTTGAAAGCTGTGGTGCTCTTGTGGATTTATGTGGGGTCTTTACTGTAAAATTTTGACCTCATGACTTACTTGTAATGACTAGAATATGGCAAAGTGATGGGATGTCATTTCTGAGAGTAGATTACAAAAAGATTCTGGCTTCTGTTTTGCTTATTCTCTCTTGCTCATTCTACTTGCTCATTCCAATTAAAAGAAGGAGAAGCCTACATGGCCAGGAACTGAAAGAGGCCCCTGGCCAACAGCCAGTGAGGAACTGTGGTCCTCAGTACAACAAGAAACCAAATCCTGCCAACAACCACACTGTTGAGCATAGATGCAGATTCTCCCCTGCTGAGCCTTCAGCCCCAGACAACACACTGGCTGCAGCCTTCTGAGAGACCTTAAGGAAGAAGCACCCAGCTAAACGGCACCTGGATGATAGATGTTTGTTGTTTTAAGCCACTAAGTTTTGGGGTAATATGTCACATAGAAATAGATGACTGGACTTCCCTGGTGGCACAGTGGTTAAGAATCTGCCTGCCAATGCAGGGGACACGGGTTCGAGTCCTGGTTCAGGAAGATCCCACATGCCACGGAGCAACTAAGCCCGTGTGCCACAACTACTGAGCCTGTGCTCTAGAGCCTGTGAACCGCAACTACTGAGCCCGTGTGCTGCAACTACTGAAGCCCACGTGCCTAGAGCCTGTGCTCCGCAACAAGAGAGGCCACCACAATTAGAAGCCCGTGCACTGCGAGAAAGAGTAGCCCCCACTCGCCACAACTAGAAAAGCCCGCTTGCAGCAACGAAGACCCAGCGCAGCCAAAAAATAAAAATAAAATAAAATAGTTAACTAATACAGCTTCTCTCTCAGGAAGGCCTTCTTTTCATGGAGATCCTAAGTAGCTATGGGCTTGCACCCTTCCAGGTACAAATCAGGGAGAGAGAGATAGTGTCCCCACCAGTTCAACCAAAGTCTGAGAACTGAGTCTCATTACATGGTCAGGTTATGTGCCCATCCTGAAATTAATGGAACATACTAATTGGACCTGCTGGGTCACATGTCAAACTCTAGATCCAGGGTGGAGTCAGCCATCTGAATTATATAGACTGGACCTGACATTTCAGAACCCAGGGATAGAGAGGATTCTAAAATTTTCTAGAGAGAGAGAGAGAGAGGAGGAAAAAAAAAAAAAAGGATCAAGAACAAGAATGGTCCCAAACTTCTCAATGATGGGAAATGCCTAGAAGTCTATACTGATAAATCAAGTGTGAGGATAGATAAAGGGCAATTTAAAGCATACAAGGTCCCCCAAAAGTTACTTCCCATAAACCCTTTCTCTGAAATCACTAGGGGGACATGCTCAACAACAGGAGACTATAAACCAAGAAACAGAAAATCTAAGAATACAGAAAACAGGGACTATAACAAAGAAGAGACAAGAAGGGAATCCCCAGGATGATGACAGAGAAGAGTTGATGGACAAGAGCTGTGCAGCCCTATCTAGACTAGAGTGGGTCTGGGGAGAGAAGGGGGGGTTCCAAGAAAAAAATTAAACTGATAAATTATTTGACATGATCCACCATGTATAAAATTGAATTGAAAGCCCTTTACTGAACTATTGGAGAGTGTGGGAAAATTTAGTCAATTTCAAAGAAAACAAAGTAACTCCAAGACAAACAAAAAAATTATGTATAAGAGGAAGTGTAATTATAACACATTAGTCAAATCAACAGGTAACAATATTTACATAAAAATAACAAAAGCAATGAATATGGATTATACCAAAAAGCAAGATAAAAAATGGGAAAGGGAAAATGGAGTGTGTAATTGACAAAAATACTCATCTCTTATACTCCTCTGGAGAAAATGCTTAATATTGATAAATGAAAAGAAAGACTGAGAAACTATCACAGACTAGAGGAGACTAAGATGACATAATGACACAGGGCAATGTGGAACCCTGGACTGGATACTGCAACATTCATGGAAAACACGGTGACCTCCAAATAAAGCTTGTAATTCAGTTAATAGTAATGTACCAACATTAATTTTAATTTTAGTTTTGACAAATGTACCATGATCATGTAAGATGTCAACATGAGATGGAGCTGGGTGAGAACATTCAGGAGCTCTCTATGCTGTCTTTGCAACTTTTCAGTAAATTTAAAATTACTTCAAAATAAAAAGTTTAAGAAAAAAGTTTAAGATATATCAATAAATTGTATATGATTAAAAACATGGAGGTAAATACCAAAACCTAAGAGCTATGGTTGAAAATAAGAATAGGGACTTCCTTGGCAGCCCAGTGGTTAAGACTTCAACTTCCAATGCAGGGGGTGTGGGTTCGATCCCTGGTCAGGGAGCTAAGATCCCACATGTCTCCCTGCCAATAAACCGAGACATAAAACAGAAGCAATATTGTAACAAATTCAATAAAGACTTAAACAAAAAGAAAGAAAATAAGAATAGATGGGGGTTGGGAAGAGAAGGCAAAGGCCCCTGTATATTACTATAAGTAAACCATAACCAGTCAAAGCAAATAGGGACCCAAATAGCATCTAGTCCAATCCCATTATACAGATGAGGAAATTGAGGCCAGAGAGACAGGATCCTGCCTAAGGCCCAACAGCCAGTTGGTAGCAGAGCTACATTTTCCTATTTGTTCTATAGAGAAAACATGAATTACATGGATATTAATTTTGTTAAGAATCTGATTTTTTAATAAATTATCCTCAGTGACCCTTACTTAGAAAATCTACATTTTCTTAGTTTTGAAACCACAGGGAAGACATGAAAGGTATTAGAGCTACAAGGGCTCTCTCTCATGAATCATTGTCTCAGCTGATGTCCACAGAAGAAAAGACGGGACTTGTCCAGACTAGAATCCATAGTCACCACTTACTGAGCATCCCCAAGGACTGGGCCCTGGACTATACACTTTATGTCCACAGTCTAAAACAGCCAGCCCAATGAAGTGAGCACTATGGAACCTGCATTTCTCAGTTGAGGAAACTGAGGCTCAGAGAAGCAGACCTTGCCCAAAGTCCAGAGCCAGGAAGAAGTGGAGCGTGGATTTAAATTCAGGCCTGTCTGACCACAGAACCCAGGCTCGTCCTTACTCTGCCATCCTGCCTCCATCCTCTCCAGGGACATATTACGTGGCCACCCCTAAACCAGATGCTGAAGGTATTTAGAATGCCAAAAGCTCCAGCCCTCCTTGATGATATCATTCTCATGGTGGCCCTAAGTGGCACAGGCAGGGCAGAAGGATCTGACCAGGATGCCCCTCCTTTTTTGCCCTAACTGGACGTGTACCCAATGCAGGATTCACTGGCCAGATACCAGCCAGACTGACTTTAACCATCTGCCAAACAAAATCATCCTCCCTCTGGGAGGATAACAAACCTTAGGAAAAACCAATACAGTCAATTTGCTATGGAATTGCTTGTCAGATGTTAGAGGCTTGGGGGACAGAGACGAAATGTGGAAGGAGCTGACTGCTTTAGGATGTGCCCTTCCTGCTGGTTAGCTGTTGGCTCTGCAGCTACAGCTGAGCTGATGAAAACCATCCTTCATTTTTATCCCAGGGGGATTGTTTCAGAAAGAAGAGGTTAGGTTCTGTCTATAATAATGAACAACTACATCTCGGTGGCTTAACACAAAGAAAGCATCTTTCTCACTTATGCTATACACTCTGGGTAGGTCAGCAGGGGTCTCTGTTCATAATGGTCATTCAAAGGCCAAGCTAATAGGGGATCCATCTAGACCCAGGCTTCCAAGTTCACTAAGGCAGAGGTGAGAGGATGTGGCAAACCAGGCACAGGCTCTTAAAACTTCTACCTAGAAGTGATACAGGTCTCTTCTGACAACATTTCATCAGCCAAAGCAATCCACACAGTTATATCTAACATCAGAGGGGATGGGCAGAGCAGTCCTACCAAGTGCCTGGAGGGAGGAGAGTAGGGACTCTTTTAGGGGGAATCAAACAGAATCAAACTAGTTTAAGCAAAATACTTGCTACTGGTAATAATGATTGATATAACATATTAGCTTACATAACCAAGGAGTTTAAGAAGGTTGACTTGCTTCAGATACAGCTAGAGCCAGGAGAATTCTCAAGTAATATTCCCCAAGATCCTGCCACGCGTTTCTTCATCTCTCAGCCGTTTCCTTTTGTGTAGGCTTCATTCTCAGGCAGGACCTCTCCATGTGGTCTCCAGAAGCTTCAGGCTTACATCCCACCTGTTTAGGAAACTTGGGGGGAAAAAAGACCTCTTTTTCAATATTCCAGGAAAAGTCCAGGGGTTGATTCTCGTTGGGGCCCTCAAACTGAAACTGAGAGTTTGTGAGGTGTGGTTCCAAAAGAAAATTAGAGGATGGTTAGCAGAAGAAAAAGGAGTGGTTGCTGGGCAGCAACAATAACTGTCCACAGTGGCTTGAGTGCTTGTAGCAGAAGATCCAAATAGGCAGTAATACCCAGTGTTTGTGGGTGTGCAGAGAAACTTGAACTTTCTGACACTAATGATTGGAATGAAAATTGACAAAACCTTCCTGGAAGGCAACATAATGAGACCTATCAAAAGCCTTAAAAGCTTAGACACTCTAACCAAAGTATGCCACTTTTAGGAATGTATCCTAAATAATCAGGTCTGTACAGAAATATTCAAATACAAAATATATTCACTTCGCTTTATGTTTTGGAAAAATGGAAAATACTCTGAATATACAATAGGAGATTGGTTAAATAAATTAAATTACCTCTATTTTGTAAAATATTTATTTATTTACTGTTTATTTTTATTTATTTTGGCTGTGCCGGGTCTTAGTTGCAGCATGCAGGTTCTTTCAGTTGCGGCATGTGGACTTCTTAGTTGTAGCATGCATGTGGGATCTAGTTCCCCAACCAGGGATCAAACCCTGGCCCCCTGCATTGGGAGCATGGAGTCTTACCCACTGGACCACCAGGGAAGTCCCTAAATTACCTCTATATTAGTAAACATGTTGCTGCAAAAAAGAAACAAGTTTTTAATTTTAAAAGTAATTTATATCAATGAGACCTAACAGATATCTATAGAACACTGCATGCAACAACAGTAGAATACACATTTCTTCTCCAGTGCACATGGAACATTCTCCAGGACAGATCATATATCTTAGGCCATAAACAAGCCTCAATAAATTTAAAAGGATTGAAAATGGAGGGACTTCCCTGGTGGTCCAGTGGTTAAGACTCTGAGCTCCCAATGCAGGGGATCCAGGTTCTATCCCTGGTCAGGGACCTAGATCCCACATGCCGCAGCTGAAGAGCCCGCATGCCGCAATGAAGATCCTGCATGCGGCCACTAAGGCCTGACACAGCAAAATAAATAAATAAATATTTTAAAAAATAATAATACAATAAAAATGGGAGATAACAAGTGTTGGTGAGAATGTGGAGAAAATGGAAACCTTGTATCATACATTGCTGGTAGGAACGTGAAATGGTGTAGCTGCTGTGGAAAGCAGTTTGGTGGGTCCTCAAAAAGATAAACATAGAATTAGTATGTAACCGAGCAATTTCACTCCTAGATATATACTCAAAAGAATTGAAAACAGATACTCAAACAAAAATATACACACATGTTCATAGCAGAACTATTCACAACAGCCAAAAGGTAGAAACAGCCTAAATTCCCATCAATGGCTAAATAAATAGAAAGCAGACTGGTGGTTGCCAGGAACTGGAGATAGGGAGAAATAGGGACCGACTGCCTATTGGGTACAGGGTTGCCTCTTTGGGTGATGAAAATGTTTTGGGATAGGTAGAGGTGATGGTTGCACACCATTGTGAATGTACTAAATGCCACTGGATAGTTCACTTTAAAATGGTTAATTTATGTTATGTGAATTTCACCTCAGTAGATTTTAAAAAAAATTTATTGTAGGAAAATACACATAAAATTCACCATTAGTAACATTTAGTATATTCACAATGTTGTACAATTATTACTACTATCTAGTTCCAGAACTTTTCAATATTCCAAAAGGATACCTCTTACCCATTAAGCAGTCTTTCCCATTTTCCCCTCCCCACAGTCCCTGGAAACCACTAATCTGCTTTCTGTCTCTATGGATTTATATATTCTGAACATTTCCTATAAATAGAATCATACAATATGTGACCTCTGGTGTCTGGCTTCTTTCTGAGAAGTCTATCCTGCAGGTTGTAATACCCAGATGAGGGAGATACAGGGACAGAGGGATTTTTGTTGCTGCTATGGTTTTTGCTAATGCCTGAAGATTCTTTAACAGTTATATATATATATGAATGTCAGCCTTAAATAGTACATTAATGATTATAAAAATAATTTCCTGCCTTTCTTGCTATCCCAAATCTGAGTTAACTCATTAAATTTAACACCATTTTGCCTTAATCTTCTCCTTACAGACTATAAGCTTTATGTGTTAATTCATTCAAGAGATATATTTTTTAAATTAATTTATTTATTTTTGGCTGCGTTGGGTCTTCGTTGTGCGCACAGGCTTTCTTTAGTTGCGGCTAGCGGGGGCTACTCTTCGTTGCGGTGCGCAGGCTTCTCGTTGCAGTGGCTTCTCTTATTGCAGAGCACAGGCTCTAGGCACACGAACTTCAGTAGTTGTGGCTCGTGGGCTCTAGAGAGCAGGCTCAGTAGTTGTGGCTCGTGGGCTCTAGAGAGCAGGCTCAGTAGTTGTGGCGCATGGGCTTAGTTGCTCCGTGGCATGTGGGATCTTCCTGGACCAGGGCTCGAACCCGTGTCCCCTGCATTGGCAGGCAGATTCTTAACCACTGTGCCACCAGGGAAGCCCCTCAAGAGATATTTATTGACCTCCTACTGTACCCACCTTGTGCAAGATCCTGGAGATATAGAGGTGAGCAAGATAGAGGTGTGTTCTGCCTTTTCTGGAGCCTGCAGTCTAGTAGGAGAACAAATATAGAAGAGTAAACACAAAGGGTTATGTAATAAAATCGGTTGTATGTTACATTCTTGTGGGTCTCTGTTGGCTTTTGCCACTCTAGCTTCCATTTTCTCTTTTACTGATAAAAAGAGAAACCACATGTCCCCACTCTCAGGCCATGTAGTAGGGTGAATAATGATCCCCCAAAGATGTCTAAGCCCTAATCCCTGGACTTTGCATATGTGATTAAGTCAAGGATTCTGAGATGGGAGATTACCCTGGATTACTTGGATGGGCCCAATGTCATCATAAGGCTCCTTATTAGAGGGAGCAGGAGTCAGAGGAGAAAGTGATGTGATGATGGAAGCAGAGATTGGAGTGATGCACTTTGAAGATGGAGGAAGGGACCACAAGCCAAGTAAAACAGGAAGCTTGCTCTAGAAGCTGGAAAAAGCAAGGAAATAGATTCCCTCCTGGAGCCCCCAGCCCTGCCAAAATCTTGACTTTAGCCCAGTAAAATTGATTTTGCACTTCTGGCTCCCAAAATAGTAAGAGAATAAATTGGCATTGTTTTTAGGCCACCAAGTTAGTGGTAATTTGTTACAGCAGCCACAGAAACCTAATATAGGCCACATGGTTTGGGTGACCCCATGTACCCAGAACTCAGAGATGAACATGTTCCAGGCATTGCGGATCATGCACTATCCCCTGGCCTCTGTGATTAGTTCACAGATTCACATGTGATGCAAGTTTATCCAATGAGAGCCAATTCCAATGATACTGTGGGAGCTGTTGGTGCAGAGAAGCCTTACCAAAGGCTACCCAGAGAACAAATAGCAGCAGAGAAGACAGCACCTTGGAATTACTGCCAGTGTTCAGGTGACAATGACACGGTTTGAACAGCTGAATCGAGCCATGCCTGAAGTCTTCCTCTGCGGGACTTCTTAGTTACCTGGGTCAATTAATTCTCTCTTTTGCTTAAAAATAAAAAAACAAAAAAACAACTATAATGAATGCAATTTTTTAGTTATTGTATCAACAAAAATCCAAAAGTTTAATAATATTTTGGTGAGGCTGTGGAGAAACTAGTCCTCTCATAGGTTGCTGGTGGGAAATAAGCTGGTATATCTCTCATGGAGGAGAATTGGGAAATATCCTTCCAAATTATGAAAACATAGACCCTCTACTCTGGTATTTCTACTTTTGAAAGTTTAACCTACAGATGTACTAGCATATGGGTGAAATGGCTCTGTGCACAGGTTATTTACTAAAGCAAAGGTTAGTAACCAAATATCCATTAATAAGACTAAATAAATTATAATACATCCATTCAATAGAATATTATGCAGCTCTAAAAAAGAACAAGGAAACTTTGTATCTCTGTACTGATAAGGAAAGATATCCAAGATATGAAAAAAAATCAGGATGCATATAGTATGATATTTGTGTGCAAAAATAATTGTGTTTGCTTAAAGAATTTGAAAGGATACAAAAGAAACTAAGCAACTTGGTTGCCTATTTGTGAGGGAGATGGGAACTAGGCAGGTGGGGGATAAGATTGGTAGTGAAACCTTTCACTGTATTTCACTTCTTATGCTTTCTGGTTTTTGAAGCTTGTGAATGTATTACACTTATTCTAAAAATTAAATTAAAAAAACCAATTTGTACACTGTGATCCAAGTTTAGTAAGAAAATAAATGTGCATGAAATCAGAAAATAGAAAACATCTAGCCTATAAGTGGTTATTCTGGATACAGTGGGAAGTAAATATTGTACTGGTTCTGTGGAATCAGGGAAGGAATGGCATAATTTCAGGGTCTACCAACGCTCTGCATTGCCAGAACAGGTGCCCCATCAGGCATTTTAAACCAGTTGCTCACCCAAACTGTCACATATTTTAACTCAAGCTGTTGTTACATCCCAGCACATGGGTGAGTGATTGGGTTTTAGGTCTTTTTGTAGGACTTTACATTTCAACTTGTTAGACTGGGTTCATCTTCGAAATATTTTGGGACCCCCATCCATTCACTCATTTCACAAATACTCTGAGGGTCCTTCTCCACCAGCCCCACTGGGGAGTGCTGGGGTTTCCTTTCCCACCTTAGGTCATCTACAGAGGTGGGGGAAAGCCAAGTTAGAACAGAGAGCCCAGGAAGTTGAGGTGATCCTCTGGTGGGGACCAGGACACAGGCCCACGGACAGCAGGGAACAGATGTGTGGCTAACAGGCTGTGGTTGGCCTAGTGTGACGGGTAATGAGAGCCTGACTCCAGATGAGGACAGAGCCCAGCTTGGCCACTGACTGGTGGACATGAGGCCGAAAAGGAGGGACAGGGCCAGAGAGAGCGAGGCTTCCAGAGCCTGGGAACACTCCAGCAGGGGAAAGGGCATCAGGAAGGTAAGGCCTTCCTCACTCAGGCGGCCTCTTCTCCAGGCGGAAACCTGGAGGCAGAGACAAGAATCGCTCCCCTTTACTGAGTGGTGCTTGGTGTTGGACACGGTCCTGAGTTGATTCTTAATTCCCACAACCACCCTGGGGGGAAGGTTGACTGTCACCTCTAGTTGCAGATGAGGACCCCCTGAGGCTTCGAGTGATTCATGCAATCTGCCCAGGGTACACAGCTGCTCAGGGGTGGGACAGGATCCAGCTGGTAGGTCTGACACCAGGCTGTAACTCTTGACCACCACAGTACTCTTGGTGTACTTGTGTTGCTGAAATGAATAAATGGCCCAGAAGGAGCGCCAGCCTGAAGCTACGTTGAGCCTGAAGCTACTCTTGTGGAAAGGAAAGCCTTGGAGGCAGACAGACCTCCCTGGGCTTGCATCCTGGGTGGGCAGCTCAAGAACCCTGTGAGCAACAGAAAAGTCATTTAACCCTCTGAGTCTCAGTTTCCTCATCTGTAAACATGAAGGGAATGTGTACCCTTTGCAGCCTGCAGTAATTAAATAGGACAGTGAATGTAAAATCATGACTAGCACAGGGCCTGACCCAAAGTCGATGCTTGACATCTGAGCTCAACAGAGAGGCTGCTGAACACCATGGAAAGGCCAGAGTTGGGGCTACAGAGACAGGGAGAAAGTTCCTTTGGAAGCCTGGCAGCTCTGCTCCATTCCATGGATAGGGCTTTTAGCTTTGTTTCCCCAGAGTGATCATCAGGAATGCCCTTAAAATAAAAGGGGTCTTTGGATTTATTTGCAGAGAGAACAATTAGGGGAGGGCAAGCTTGGAAAAAGGGAGAGACTAGGAGACACAGAGAAATCAAAAATATGGGTAGTAGCTTTAAAAAGGCAAGGAACCTGGGCTGAGTCCCAGGTGTGGGAGGATGACAGAAGGGGGCTGCCATCTGGGATGTGCCCCAGTCAAGGCCAAGGCCAAGGCTGAAGAGGAAGCTTTGAGGTCCTCCCAAGCCAGGCCCCTTCCCCCTAATCTGCCCACTGGTGACACAAAAGGCTCAGTTCAGTAGCTCAAAGGGGCTGGATTGTCTTGGGCTTCTCACTAGTTTTAAAACCTTACTCCTTAAGGCCAAAGGATTCTTTTGTTCAGCTTGTTCCTTTCAAGAGGGAAAATCTCTTCTGGAGGGTGACAGGCCCTGATATCCTCTGCCCAGGAAGCAGAGCCTCCTCCCAGCCCTCACAAGCTGTCTTTGCAACCTTGTCCCAGCTCTCGGAGACGGGCTTGTGTGCTGAGTCAGTTTGGCCGCCTTCCAGCCAAGAAGACAGTGAAGGCTGCAATGCAGGGGCCATTAAAGGAACTATTTTTAGGCTCCATTTCAATCTTATTCAGCACAGGCTGTGAGATGCTAGGCTTGAAAGTGGCCAGACCAAGGAGATGCTGGCGGAGACAGAGTCCCAGGCAAGTAGGTCAGGGAAAAGACAAAGAAATCTCACTATGGGAGAGAAAGAAGCTCCCAGAGGTTCATGTTGCTGTCCAAGGTGCAGGAGACAGGCGAGGGGAGCTTTTCAGAGAATCAGCCCTCCTGCATTACCTGAGGAGTCACCAAGAAAAATGAGGAAAGTACAGCGACTTCCAAAAAGAGACTAGGGCAACATGCACCTGGGGAGCTCTTTAAAAATATACCTCCCTGGCGCATCTTAGGTTATCTGAGTCCAAATATTACAGTGGGGATGTGTGTTTCCAACCTACTCCCAGGGTAGGTGACTCTCACACACAATGAAGTTCAAGGACCTGAGGGCTGGAGAGTATCTAGGTCTAGAATTCAAAGGAATGATCCAGACTGAGGGGAAGGAAAGGCACAGGTGGTGGCGGTTATTTAACAACCCCCAGAGGTGCCATTCTCCTTTCCTCACTGGTCTCAGGCTTCCACCTATAAAGTGCAGGGTCCTGGCAGGACTAGGAGTCTCTTAGTTCATTGTCAGATGTTTGTAACAGCCACCAATCAGGAGAATTTGGCCATCAGAGACAGTAACAAGGTCTAGTGGAAAGAGTGAGGGGAAGGGGGAAAAAGAGCTTTTGCTTTTTGTGCTATGCGACTTTGGCTTCCCCGGCCACCTGCTAACAGCAGGGACTTAGCATAACAAATACCAAGATAATGAGGACCTGCCAAAGCAAGGTGAATTGTTCTCACTCTGCTTTTCTTGGCCACCTAGGGAAAGCCTATCCACACATGCTCTTTCACATTGTGCCTCGGCTCCCACCTGCCCATGCAGACTGCAAAGCCACCCCTTCTTCCCTAAGGAGACACAAACAAAGGCCACATGGTCAGGTGACACTTTAATAGGCTAGAAATAGAAAACCTGTCTTTGGAGACTATCAAGAGCCACATGCTTTACATGTACCTCTCCAGTTTTGTCAGCACCACTTATTGAAGAGGCTGTCCTTTCTCCACTGTACATTCTTGCCCCTTTATCAAAGATAAGGTGACCATATGTGTGTGGGTTTATCTCTGGGCTTTCTATCCTGTTCCATTGATCTTTTTGTGCCAGTACCATACTGTCTTGATTACTGTAGCTTTGTAGTATAGTCTGAAGTCAGGAAGCCTGATTCCTCCAGCTCCGTTTTTCTTTCTCAAGATTGCTTTGGCTATTTGGGGTCTTTTGTGTTTCCATACAAATTGTGAAATTTTTTGTTCTAGTTCTGTGAAAAATGCCAGTGGTAGTTTGATAGGGATTGCATTGAATCTGTAGATTGCTTTGGGTAGTACAGTCATTTTCACAATGTTGGTTCTTCCAATCCAAGAACATGGTATATCTCTCCATCTATTTGTATCACCTCTAATTTCTTTCATTAGTATCTTATAATTTTCTGCATACAGGTCTTTTGTCTCCTTAGGGAGGTTTATTCCTAGATATTTTATTCTTTTTGTTGCAATGGTAAATGGGAGTGTTTTCTTGATTTCACTTTCAGATTTTTCATCATTAGTGTATAGGAATGCAGGAGATTTCTGTGCATTAATTTTGTATCCTACCAAACATAAGGTAGATAGCTAGTGGGAAGCAGCCGCATAATAGCACAGGGAGATCGGCTTGGTGCTTTGTGACCGCCTGGAGGGGTGGGATAGGGAGGGTGGGAGGGAGGGAGATGCAAGAGGGAAGAGATATGGGAACATATGTATATTTATAACTGATTCACTTTATTATAAAGCAGAACCTAATACACCACTGTAAAGCAATTATACTCCAATAAAGATGTAAAAAAAAAAAGAGCCACATGTGCGCCAGAGCAGAAAGCAGAGGCACAGCAGTTGGGTCTGGGGGGAAACAACAGGCTGAGTGGGAGGTCAGCGATGGCTGAAGAATCCTTGAGGATGGTTATATTTAAATGGCTTCATCCTGCTGGGGCCTCTAGAGAAACAGGAGAAGGGAGAATAGTGTTAATACCATACCCTTTGGGCTGATAAAATAAATTACAATTCATCCACACTAATAGGGACTACTATTAGCTGTTAAGGAAAAAAAAAAGGAATGTTGTAAGAAAAGCAGACTGCAGAACAATATGAAAGGTGTGATGCACTTCTGAAAAAAATGTCTTTATGTGCCAGCAAAGGCATGAACACAAACCTGGAAGGGCCCTCACTGACGATGTGCACTTTGGGGGACAGGGCCTGGGCACCCTCACTTTTTAGTGTTTTTACCAAACTGCTCACTGTTGTTTGTTATATTTAACAACAAACATGTTTTATTTCTATGATTAAAGAAAAACCATAAAATCCTCCTTTGCAGGGAGATTCCCATGCAGGTAGGAGTCTGGGTGTGAAAAGAATCTGTACAAAGTTCCTGCCAAGAGCCATGTGCTTTATACTCACTACCTCTTAGACGCTATTTCTATCATTTTATAGATTTTAAAGGTGAAGAAACAGGCTTAGGGACGTAAACTGTCTGCCCAACATTATATGGTCAGAAAGCAGCACAGCACAAATTCAAAACCAGGTTTGATGCCAAAGCCTGCTGGCCACAGGCAGGCTGACAATCACAGCCAAAGCCTGGACCCTGAGAAGCTTAGGTGCTTCAGCTCCAATCCTGAGCCCCCCAAGCAAAACCTCACACAGGGTTCTTTTCCATACAACTCCACAATGAATGGCATCCAGCTAAAGGGCCTCTCGTTTATCTGCCTATGACTGACATTCAATGGTAACCAGGAGGTGACACCTTGGATCTTGGTCTGAGGGAGGGTGAGAGGCAGTGTGTGTTGTGTTTGTGTGTAGGGGTGTGCAATCACTTACTTAGGGAGGGCTTACTCTGCCTGCACTGTGCTTGACACTTTACATGCACTGCCTGGTTTAATTTCATCCTCCCAACAACACCTGAAGTGGATGCCATTTTAGGGATGAGGAATCTGAATCTCAGAGGGGTTAAGTACAGACCCCAATCACATAGGCTGGAGCTGCAATTTGAACCTAGGCCTTTCTGGCCCCAAAGGCTTTGCTCTTTTTTTTCCGACCGTGCCGCACTGCATGTGGGATCTTAGTTCCCTGACCAGGGATCGAACCCGAGCCCCCTGTGTTGGAAGCACGGACTCTTAACCACTGGACCACCAGGGCAAGTCCCCCAAAGCCTCTGCTCCTAGCCATGACGTCATGTACCTCCCCAACATCAGAAGGGTGCAGTCATCCAGGTAAGTCTAGGCATACAGCTGATGGAGACCCCATAGCCTGAAGGTACCCAGCCATGGGCAGAGCCAGACCTTGCGTTTCCTGCGGCCCAGGCCAGCCCTTTGCAGCCCAGCCCCTTGGCCTGATCCCAGTGGTCAGCTGAATTCCAGGCCAAGAACCTCACATCCCACATCTCATCAGTCATGGAATTAACTGGATCTGAGTAGCCAAAGGAGCACCTTCCCAGAATGTCCTGCCAGAGAAGCTCAGCCTGGGAGACATACCAACCACTTCAGAAAATGGGTCCTTCAGGAACCATTAGATAACAGAATATAAACACTAGCTGTGTGAGAACTCCCACCCTGGAAATGTGCTACAGCAGGCTGGGAGCGGGGGTAAGAGCTGAGTTCTCACGCAGACACACCAAGGAAAGCAAGTCCTAGAAGGCACCAACATCTAGCCGCCAGCTCTGCCTGTCACCAGCCACTCCAGGGCTGCAGCTGGTTATTATCAGCTAGCATGACAAACCAGGCCAGGTGCAGGTGCCAGACGGAGGTGGGAGGATGCTGGGGCAGCTTCCAGGAGCTGAAGCTGGCTGTGTGAGAAGAAGGTAAGGGGCAGGTAAGGCACCTTTTAGACTGACAGAGAACAAAGGGATGTCCTGATTAGATACAGATGCTAGCCCTTCACAGACACCATTCCTCCCCAACCCCTTGCCCAAAAGGGAAGGGATGCCTGAGCAGTGTGGACTCTGTAGAGTTCTGAAACTGGCTCTAAGAACGCTAGTTAAGGGATGAAAGGGAAAGAAAGGACCCAACATCAAGGAGAAAGGAAAAGCAGCTAGCAGTGCTGTGCATGTAGACACGCTAAATACCAAGCTGTCAGGACCTGCTGGCATTTTCTGAGCCTCTGCCTGTGCCAGGATCCATTCTGGAAGCTTTACATGAGCTCTCTCTACTTCATCATGAGTTAGAAGGTAACACCTTTGGGAAAGGTTCAGAGCTGAGCTGAAGTGACTCTTCCAAAGTCACATAGCTGGTGAGCAGGAAAGCAGAGATCTGCACTTGTGTTTGTGTTACTTCAAAGCTGGTTCCTTCTGTGATGCCTGACTGCCTATAGCTGCGATCCCCCGAGATGTTTGAGTACCTTAGGAAGTACAACAGACTCTGGGGACTGGTGGGATGCAAAGAGTTTAAAAAGTTCATTTGGACCATGAAAAGCAAACCTACTGTTTGCCACAGAAAGTAGAGAAAGGAAAGTTCAGTCAAATCCTCTTGCTCACTTGGCGTGTGACCCACCTCTGGGGGGTGTGCATGATGAACAACTGGACCAGGCTGGTAGGATGGGGGCCACAGGGAAAGTTTTAGGAATAAGGGAGCAAGCTCTCCCCAGGAAATCTGGCAGCAGGATTTTAATTTCCACAGTGAATGGAGACTAGTGCCCCGGGAAACGTGCGTGCCTTCCATGCCAGGCTCACCTCTGCCCCAGGTCCCTGTGAGAGGCAGGGCTGGAGGTCCCTGGACCCGGCACCCCCGCCCCTCCCCTCACCTCACCTGAGAAGCCGCAGACACATTTTCTCCTGGGGAAATTCCTTGGGCCCCTCCACACTGTCGTCGTGGCTCTCCGTCTCCAGGTAGACATCCAGCAGCACGCACAGGCGCTGCAGCTGGTTCGTCAAGAGCTGGTGGCCGGGCCAGTGGCCACACAGCTCCTTATAGCACACATTGACCTCACTCTCCATGGCCTATGGGTGGGAAAACCAGAAACTTAGCACCACTTTCAGGCCAGCTGGGTCTGATGGTTTCACAAGAACTGCACCCGGGCCTCCGCAGGAGCTCGGCCTCTGCAGATCAAGCCGGACCGACTTGTCCTGAGGCTCCCTCTCCTCAAGACAATGGGGTCTTCCTGATCCTGACTCAGAACTTTCCCTGCCTTGCACATCCACAGACAGAGACGAAGATGTGTAGAAGATGAATCTCAAGATGAGATCCAAATCAGGTGTTAGGGTTAAAAACGTGCTCCATGACTATTGAATCAAATCCACAGGTATAACAATAATTAACAGGTGTAATGATCTCGGACATCATCTCATTCCAGCACTTTCTGTGCATCTGAGTTTATTCTCATTTCCACAGAAGCCCAAACAACAACCTTTCACAGCAGGTATTTATATTACCCCTATTTCATAAATAGGGTGAACCTGTGGACCCCAAGCTAGATAAGGGGTTGGGATGGGTCTGAGCTCTTTCTGCTACTATGTCATGCACCCTCCAGCAAACTCTACAAATCCCGGCAGGCCCCTCTGCCCAGTGAATTGTGCCAGTGCCCAAGCCCTCAGCTGCGGCAGGTTCTGCCCCTGCCCACCTCCCCAAGAAGGCTCTCCCTGCTCCTCCCACCACCCCCAGCAGGTCCTTACCCGAATATTGTCGTCGTTGTTGTTGGTTTTCTCCCCTTTCCAGTTCAGACAGAGCTGGAAAATGGGTGGGATGGAGGAGTAGCCGGGGTTCAGCACCACGGCAGCCTGGAGCTTAGCTGGGAAGGGATGGGAAAGGAGGAAAACTCAGTTCTGAGACCTGGCTTGTTAGCTGAGGCACGCTCCCCGCTGGACCCGAGGCTAGCTCTGTGTCTCACACTAATCCAAGTGCTCAAAGCACATTCTGGTACTGACTTTTACTTTTGTTCTAGAATCTCCCAAGTGGAACTGCCAGGTTGCAGAAAGTGAGGTCCTGTGACTCTGGTCCCTCCAAGGACACAGAGCTGTGTGGACTCCCCAGAGTCTGGTCCACAATGAGTTTGCCCAAGAGTTCTATTTACTCCTTTGACAGAAGTTTGTTTTCATTGGCATTTATTTGCCAGCAAGTTAAGGATTTTCCCATGTGAAGGTTTCCTGTTTTTTCCAACAATATTGGGTATTAGCTGTTACATTAGTCAAATATATTTTTTCTATTCTGTTCTTTATCTTTATCTATTTTGTTATGTGCAGCTTTTTCATAGCTAACATTTAATGACTACCTACTGTTTTCCAAGCACTGTGCTAAGCCCTTTGCACACATTTTATTTCATCCTAATAACGATTCTGAGGTAGGTACCATTATTATCATCCCATTTTACATATAAAAAAACTGAGGCTCTGACAGAAACTTCCTTAAGATCATCAAGCAGTTGCAAAGCAGCAATGCTGAGTTTAATCAGAACTACCTGATGCCAAAGCTGTGTTCATAATCATTATATGAAATATTTGCATTTTTTAACTTTTTCATTTTTTCTCTGGTGATAGCCTTTGCCTTTTTCAATAGGATGACATTTATCCTCTCCATCAATGGGCTAGGCATTTAGCCACTCCTTTTCATTATTTATGGAGGAAAAAAGGAACTCTCTGACCCACCAGTAATTCAAATAAATAAGAGAACAAGAGAGTTTAGGTTAAAACAATTCTTCCCTGACAGTCGCAACAACATTTATTAAAAGGTGACACTTTCCTGTTGTTTCTGCCGTAACAGTTTGCACATATTTCGGGGTTTATCTCTGTTCACTAATTTTTTGTTTTTAACCCATACCATGTAACTGTTGTCCACTTATCCATTTAAATTTCACTCTTAATTTTTCAAATTCTATAATGCATCTAATGAAAATTTAAATGATCACATTCATTCCATGTACGAATCTAGAATACTTATCATCTTTCCAAGCTTTCTTCCGCTCAACCAGGAAGCAGAAATGATGTCCTCCAATGACCTCCCACCCTTGGGGCTTTGTAAATTTACTGGATGCATATTTTGTGCCCTTTCAAAATAGCACTCTGTTGTTTAGGGATGAGGTTAAAGTATTTTTTAAAAGGGGAGAGGATGGAAAGCAAATGCAAAATTCCAAATAGCAGTCACCTATTGTCAGGGTGAGAATGAAGTGGGATCAAGGAGCCTCAACTGTATCTGAAATTATTTAATTTCCTCAGAATATTTCTAAAAACATGCAAAGAAAAGAAAGAGAGAAGGGAAGAAATAGACACACTTGAACATCAAAGAGTGCAAGCTTTCCTGACATGTCTCGTACTGTCTTGGAACTACAGACAACTTCCTCCGCCCGGTGGCCTCAGCACTGAGCCCCTGGGGTGGGATCCTGCAGGCTGTGCCAGACCTGCCAAGGCTGGGGCCGGATGACAGCACCACAGGCAGCATCAGGGTGGCTCCAGCAGGAAACCCTGGCCGATCAGATGCCAGGACAGCTGTGAGGAATCACAGCGCTCGATGCCTCCCAAGTGAGTGCAGGGACTGCAGAGAGGGAGAAGGGTCCTGCACTTCACATCCTGAGAGTAACAGCCCTTCCCTGAAGAGGGGGACGAGCAAGCATCTGATTCTAAAATGCAATGAAACAAAGGGGCTAAGAGCTCAGGCTCAGAGGTCAGACTGGGTTTGTGACTAAGCCCTACTTTCCTCATCTACAAAGCAGGAATATCACCAGCCCCAGGACTGTCCTAAGGATTAGCTGATAAACCACGGACATGACTGTTGCAGAACAAGTCCTGGCTGAATGCTGCCTCTCACAACTATGACTGTTTGCTAAGTCCCCACTGCAGGATTCCAGGATCTTTCGCTTCCTTTGGGCAACTCCCAGGAGTGTTTTATTCTCAGCGGCTCCCCTTGCCTAGAGCAACTGTGATCAGCAGAGCAATTACCTGTGCCCCTTTCCACGAGTGCCATATAGTAGAGATTGGTGTCCCCAGCCAGTCCCGCCTCCATGATGTCTTTGGTAAAATGCAGCTCCTAGAAGTCACCAAGGACAAGGGGTGAACTGCTGGCTCCTCTAGTCAAATCCCCTGCTCTTCTGGTGGAGGAGCAGGAGCTGAAAGGTGACGTGGGCCTGCAGTCCCCAGGACAGCAACAGTGGCCTGTCACCCTTCTACCTACCGTATAATCCTCATGGGCAATCGTCACCCACTTCACCAGGCGAGAGACAACCTTTGCAGGGAAGAGGTACTGGCAGTCACTGGTAACTGGCACAATGCCGTGTTCTAAAAGAGAGCAGGACAGGTGGTGTCACAGGTAGAAATCAGCTGTCACAGCTGGGTAACTAGCATCTTCTGTAGGGCTCAGATGGCCCTGCCAGCTGTCCAGGTACACTCGGTACTCAGGTGCCCAGGTCAACACGTGCCAGAAACGAAGGCACACCAACCTGACCTTTACCCAGTGCTTCTGCTTGAGGCCGGACCCAGCACCAGCATTCACAGCACTTTATCCTTAATGCAAATGATGGCCTGCCAAACAAAAAAACCCCTGCAACCAGAAACAGAGATGTACGGTGTCTCTGCAGCAGTGACTGTTAATTAGACCAAATAGCCAAGAGGGCTGTTCTCAGAGCTGACCTTGATGGAGAAAGGACTGAAGTGTTCTGTGTTGGTTCCTCTAAGGGAAAAGAGCAGGAGGACTGCTCCAGGGTGAATTCCTGCTGGCGTTTCAATAAGCAAACGTGCCAACATGGTAAACGCTGTCCAGGATGACAATCACCCAACCCTGGGACAAAACAAACTAAGCAATGCTGATGGGGAGCAAGTAGTGCTGCCCTGGAGAAAATAGAGTCCACGTGAGGCCTCCAGACGGGTCCTAGGAACTCAAAGCCTTTCCTGACAGTGGCTCTTTTAGATCAGAAAGATCTTAACCCTCACTCCTTACAAGTCCCTTGTACATGGTAGGCTCTTACAAGTATTTACAGAATGAACAAATGAAAAGCCCCACATGGCCACCATCTTGGTCAAGGGCTCATCAGAATAACCTGGGACCTTATGGAAAACACAGGGGCTCAGCCCCACCATGGAGGATGTCAGCTCAGGTGTCAGGGGAGGGATGAGGCGTGGATCCCTGGACAGCTGTATTCAAGTAAGCTGAGTGTAAGCTCCACAAAAGCAGGGCTCTGTCTTGTGCTCATGGCTCTTCTCCCAGCACTATTCTGGCTGCCTGGAATGAATTAGGCTCCTATTAAAACGCACATCAGGACTTCCCTGGTGGCACGGTGTTTAAGAATCTGCCTGCTGGGGCTTCCCTGGTGGTGCAGTGGTTGAGAATCCGCCTACCAGTGCAGGGGACACGGGTTCGAGCCCTGGTCTGGGAAGATCTCACATGCCGCGGAGCAACTAAGCTTGTGCACCACAACTACTGAGCCTGTGATCTAGAGCCCACGAGCCACAACTACTGAGCTCGTGTGCCACAACTACTGAAGCCCGCATGCCTAGAGCCCGTGCTCCACAAGAGAAGGTACCACAATGAGAAGCCTGCACACCGCAACAAAAGAGTAGCCCCTGCTCGCTACAACTAGAGAAAGCCCGCGCGTGGCAACAAAGACCCAATGCAGCAAAAAATAACAAATAAATAAAATAAAATAAATTTATATATATAAAAAAAAGAATCTGCCTGCCAATGCAGAGGACACGGGTTTGAACCCTAGTCTAGGAAGATCCCACATGCCACAGAGGAACGAAGCCCGTGTGCCACAACTACTGAGCCTGTGCTCTAGAGCCCGCGAGCCACAACTACTGAAGCCTGCGAGCCACAACTACTGAAGCCTGCGTGCCCAGAGCCCGTGCTCTGCAGCAAGAGAAGCCACTGCAATGAGAAGTCCGTGCACCCCAACGAAGAGTAGCTTCCGCTTGCCACAACTAGAGAAAGCCTGCACGTAGCAACGAAGACCCAACACAGACCAAAATAAATAAATAATTAAAAAAATTTTTTTTTTAAATAAATAAAACGCACATCAAAGTCTGACGTGCACTGACCTAGCATGATGCTCCTGACCAATCTGCTAACCTGGGCCCCCAAAAGGCTTTGGGCTGAGACAGCCCTGGTGGCCCTGAGGAGAGCTCAGACCTCTGCTTGGCAGCCTACAGCTCTCCCCAGTGGCCCAGCTAACACCTCTGCTCAACAAGAGCCAGAAAGCCAGCCCGTTTTGATTTGTCATCAGGATTCAAGAAATCTGAGTGCAGGGCTCCGTTGTCTTTGTCCCTGTGTTGTCTGAGTGGCTCTCAGGCCACAGCCCTAACTAGCACCAGCTTACCCAGGGAGGCAAACTGCTTGTGGAGGGCCAAGCGGGACTGCACCCTGGTCTTCAGCAGTTTCATGGTGGTCTCCATGTGGCTGGCGCTCAGAGAGTGGTCAGCGATCACAGTGTGCTGTGGAGGACAGCGAGTGGCACACATGTTAGTAGCTCCCCATCCCTTCCTCCAGGCACCCCTCTCTCCTAGCACCTGCCTGCCTGTGGCAACCTGGACTACTCACGTCCTGAGATGCCTTCTGGGGACAGCAGGGTTTCCCTACTGTGACAGGCCAGAGGCTGAGTCCCAACAGGAACGATACAAGGTGCTGAGATCTTAAGAGGTCCCCTAGGGTTCATTTCTGGCACCTTCGTACATAAGACCAAGGGGTAGCAGCGCCTGGAGCTGCACTGCACGCAGGGCAAGGATCCAAGTTACTTTGACCTAGAGGGCTAACAGGCTCATGGCAAAGGCAAAAGGTACCTAAACACTTGTAGGCCTTGGACATTTTAGTATCCTGAGTGGAGGGAAGATAGATCATAGCCCAGAGGGATAGCATTCTGCTAGTTCAAAGTCCCAAAGCCCTTCTGGAGTCTGTATGGGAGAAGAGGAATAGAGGTCCTCAGCTGAGGGGACCAGATCAGTAGACACACCTGGGGCTGCTCTTTGGGGAAGTGGAGGCCACCCAGCTTCTGCACCCACAAATAGGGATGCCCTAAGTCAAGTACGTAGTCCCTCAAAGTCAGGATGCTGCAGAAAAGAACACAGAATGAAATGATTCTATAAGTCATTTCTGCAGTGGTCCCAGGATATATCCCTCCTCCCACCTTCTCATCTCCCCAAAACAGAACGGTCCCACAGGCTCAGCTGCACCCACGGGCAGGCTGCCAACAAAGCCTCTTAACTTCATCAGTTCCCTACTGTGAATTTCATCTCTCCTAGTCACTTTTCTCTTTTTCCCTTGGCAGCCTTCAACTCATTAGCAAATATCAATAAAAAGGCAGTATACTTGATCTCTTCATCAGTCCACCAATTTATAAAATATTTAAAAAATTTTAATCCTCAGAGAATTAAAATGTTAAATACATCTATTATCACATTCCCAGAGTTTTGATCCTTCCACCCTTTCCCACCCTCCATGGCCTCATAAGCAGGAAAAGGCATGTGTTCCCTTCTCTGGACAGAGCACTCCCTCCTGCCCAGCCGCCTCCCCTGTCCCCTGGGAGGCCTCTGGCCCTAACAGGTCTCCAGCTTTGGGTTTGAGCCACAGGAGAAACTCAGAAGCAGAGAGGCTGGGAGAGGAGGAAATGCTGCTGACTCACCCAACTTTATCAAACTGATACTGATTGGCTGGATTTGGAGTTTTCTTTCCATGATCCCCAGGATACAAACAGCTCAGTACTGAGTCAGGAGACAGCAAGTCACTGGAAGAGGAAAAAGACTGCAGTGAGAACGCCGGCCAACCCATTGCTTCCACGCAGACGTGGGCATTTGGCGGTGGTAACACCCCCTCTCACTGATGATCAAAGCCAGACCCTTTATATGCCTGAGGTCATCAGATACTCATAACCCTATGAGGTAGGGAGTATCATCATTTCCATTCTACAGAGGAGAAGATCAAGGCTTTAAAAGATATGGCTTGTCCAAGATCACACTGCTATTAAGTGCTGGAGCCAGGATTTACTCTATTCCATCAAAGACAGTAATACTCTTAACCATCAATTTTTTAAGAAACCTATCCCTTCAAGAGTTACATGGTGACCAGAGCCTTTTCCTCAGGGGAGCAAAGCCCTGTGACACAATAGGAATAATCAGAATTTTCATAGGAGCAAAACAGATCCCTTCTACCCCAGAGAGATCCAGTGTGAAGCTTTGATATTGTGCTTATCTCACTTTTTACCAAATCTCATGCTATCACAGAAATAGGTCCCCTTTAAAATTCCCAGAAAAAGATGTATCACATAGACTGGAGACAAGGTGACCTAGTGCTGTAAGCAGAGAGACACGGTGATGCCACAGCCACCTACTCAAAATGGTTAAACATGTAATTAAACGTGACAATCAGGGAAGAGATGGGGAGAGAATGGAGTAATTTGATCACAAAGGTCAACGAGGCCCATTCTTTCCCTTCACCAAAGGGAGTTCCCCTTCGCCTTCCAGGGACAGCGTCAGGAGTGACTCAGGCGGAAACTGCTGCTCTGAGCCAGCAGGCCTCCAGGAACTTAGCACCGGGAGGGTGGCAGCTTCTGGCTCTGCCCTGCTCTCTCTCCTGACAGTGTCTCCCTGCACCACCACGACCCCCAAGGGTCTCTGTCCCCTTCGCTGCTTCACACAGAGAACCGGCTAGAAAATGAATAATTGTCAGTCTTTTAGCCAATGTTTAGTGACTGTTACTAATATACAGAATCAGCCAAAATGAAACAGAACAGCTAAAAATGCACAAGATTAGGATTTTAAATTGATGAAACCTGATGGAAGAATCAAATCTTCTCGACAAAATTTCCATCTGCAATATGGAAATTGGCAGAATATAGCTGCAAAATTGGCTGCAATATGGAAAATGGCTCAGGACAACTGAATTTGGTAAAAATAATGGCCATTAAAGAGAAGGCTATATACTCATAATATGACTATTCAAAACACTATTCAGTTACTCAAGTCTTTGTTATAAAGTTTTAAAAGAAGAGATTTTTAAAATCTTCGTAAAGTGGAAATGGAAAATAATTTAAAATAATTCAATGCCTTAATGAAAAACTGATTAATGAATTAAAGTGGCCTAATGGAGATCATTCTGGAAAACAATTTCTTGAGGAAAATTCAGCAAGGTTCATATAATTCTGAATAAAATGTTTATAATAAAAACATGAATTTCCTAATGAATTAAGAGATCCTGGCATCAGTCGTCAATGTTGCTAACATCTCAAAAATAGAGACAGCCTGTGCCTCCTGATAAAATCATGCAACATCTCTGACACAGTGCTGCACACCCACCTCCCCCGCTAAAAATGGAATCTGATCAGGTCTCTAACTCTACCTACAATTTACAGGAAATACAGGGGGAGGGAGTAACACGTTCAATTGTACCGCAGGGATGCAATCATCAAAATGCAGCCTGGGGGAAACCTACAGAGCAAACAACCTACTTTCCTCAACAAATAAAAGATGGCAGGACATTCAGATGGAAAGACACCTGAAAGAAGCTTCATCCAACTGCAACACATGGATCTTAAAAAGATCCAGATTCAAAACCCAAACTGTAAGAACAAAACTAACAAAGAACACTTATAGGGAAATCTGAACTCTGACTAGATAATTGATATTAAGGAATTAGTGTCATACTGTGATTAAATTGAAATTTTTAAAAAGTATCCCTGTTTTAGTTGATAAATAAATAAAACCACACACCATGGTGTCTCCATGGGGCGAAAGCAGCCTTGAGCAAAGGCCTCTAGGCTGCGAGTCTGAAGTCTAGGCCCAGCACTTCCATAATTGGACATATGCCCCTGAACTCAGTTTCTCCATCTGTAAAATAGGGGGATGAGCCAGACAACACCTGAAGGCCCTTAAAGAGCTAATCCTGGCTTCAGGGTGGTGTTTCCTTTTGGGTTTCCTCCCTCTTTGGGGACCAGGGCAATGACAGTAGTGTAGTACCATGGTACACAGGCCCGGCTGGCTTTGAATCATCACTCTCCATGCACTACCTGTGACCCTGGGGCAGCCTCTTAACTCTGCAGAGCCTCAGTTTCTTCACCTTGTAGAGCTACTGTGAGAATTAAATCTGATGATGACAAACAGCTGTCATTTACCAAGCATTTCACCTATGCTAAGCATTTTACCTGACTCACACAGGCACCCTGGGAGGGGATCTAATTAATGACCGGAATGAGGAAACAGACTCAGAGGCCAGGTAATCTGGCTAAAGGTGCACACACAGCTGTGAGGGGAGACCTGGCACTCGCAGAGCTCGTAGCCAGTCTGCAGTCCCGCCCCTATCACTGTATGTGCAGCGCCCCGCAGGGGAGTGGGCTTCAGTGCACACTGGGGCCAGCCTGCAGCCCCGTGACTTAGCAGATAGGACATCTGAGAAGTGAGCAGGCAGAACAATCACGACAAAGAGCTCCACTGTGGCCAGGGCCATCATGGGGCCCTCGAGCTGCTCACTGGACCAGCGCTGCAACTGGGTTCTCTGAAGAAGCCAGCCCTGGGCTCCCTCTGCTGGGGTGAGGTGGGAACAAGGTCAACTCCATCCAGAGTGCTCGGGGTGGTCCAGCAACACTCTCAAGCACAGGGACCAAGGATGCAGCCTGAAGGGGGTGTGGACTCTAAGTGCAGGGTCGAAAACCCAGGGGAAACGCCACCATCAGGCAGGCCTGGGAAGAGTCCCATCCCACCAGGCACCAGACCCACAGTGTCTCCCTCACTGATCTTTCTACACCTGACTTGAGGACTCACTGGAAGCAGGTGGGGCAGGGTCGGGAGGCGTGCCAGGCCAGGTGAGCCTACTTCACCCCCAGGCCCTCTCGGTCCTCCTCCCTTCCTCCCACGCTGGCTGTGGAACAAGCAGCCACAGTCAGGGCCTTACTGGGGATGCTCCACCTGTGGCTGCCACTACGTGCCTCTGCTCACCCTCCTCAAAACCCCCACAGGGACCCGCCAGTCTTCCTCCCACTGCCCAGGTAAGGACAACGTGGGATTGAGCTGAGCTGCAAAGTGAAATCCCAGCACCTTGGGACAGAAAGAGACAAGAAAAAGAGAGGCCTAAATTTGTCAACCTGGTAAGGTCTGCCAAATCTCACTTTCACATTCACACTCTTTCCACTGGTGTAAAAGGTGGTGCCCTGCCCACTCAATTTACAACAGGCTGTAGTCACTTCTAGCATCTGCTGTGTAGTGAGAGGACTTCACCAATTCAAGTCAGTGAGTGCTTTCCAAATACCTGTGATGTACCAGGACTTCGGGGCTGTGTGGACGTGACAACAGAAGCCAGTGTGGCCGTGAACTCCACTAAGAGCCAGATGAGGGAGGATCCGAGAGGAGCCCAGCACCAAGGCTCCCACCACACCCCCCTCCCACGCCCCACCCCCCGCAGCACCTGTCCAATACCCTGCACTGATGGGGGTGATCAGTTCTGTGGCAGTTGTCACTTTGGCTTTTACCGTCATAATGTTGAGGTTCATGAGGTAGTAGAAAGTCAGGTGCAGTACACTGTCATCTGGAGGGGAGGAGGAAAAGAAGACATCATTTATGGGTTAAACACTAGAAGAGCGTCAACAGTATTATAGAAAGGAAAGTCAACAAGACTTTTAAGATCTTTCACTATAAAAACAACTTGATGGCAACTTAACATTGAGTAAAAAAAGTCTCTACAAATTCTTTGCTACTACTCCCTCCAAGAGGTGGAGCTTCATTTCCCTCCCTTGAGTGTGGACTGGACTTAGAGACTCTGCTTCTAACTAACACAACATGGAAAGGAAGCGATCAAGGGATCACCAAGTGATCTGGGTTAACATCACTATTAACAAGACGAATTGATACCTCCGACCCCTGATAAGACGTGACGGTGAACACTGCCATCTGTGGTATTCCTTCCCCAAAACCCACAACCTCAGTCTAATCAGGAGAAAACAACAGACAAGCCCAAATTGAGAGCCTTTCTACATAATACATAAACCTCATCTTCCAAAGTGTCAAGGTCATGAAAGACAAGCAAAGACTGGAGGAGACTAAGAGGCATGACGACTAAATGCAATGTGAGATCCTGGATTGGATCCTGGAGGAGAAAAAGGACACTGGTGGAAAAACCAGGGGAATGTGAATAAGTTTGGTAGTTAATAGTGTTGTACCAATGAAATTGACACTGATTTTGATTACTGTGGTTAAGAAAGATGTTGATATTGGGGTGAAGAGCAGGTGAGAAATCTTTGTATCATCACTGAAACTCTTCTGAGTCTAAAATTATCTCAAAATTTTTTTTATAAAAAGGCAAAGAGAAGACAAGTGTGTAGAGTGTTTCCATTTATGTAAAAAATAAAAGGTGAAGGGGATAAGTATAAACTTGTGTAAAAGCTTCTAAATGCATAGTTTATTTCTTGAAAATACACAGGAAACTGTCACAATGTGCCCTTGAAGGTAATGACCAGGACCAGGGTCTGGAAGTCTGGGGTGAGAAGGAAACTTACATCTGACTGCTAACTCTTATCCTGCTGGGATGCTTTACCATGTGCTCCTTTACCCATATGAAGCCAGTTTCAAAACCCACTGTCTCTGCAAAATACGAAGTTCTACTTATATTTATTAAATTAAGCAGGTTGGTCATATTACTCAAAGCCTGCATACTCTTGGCAACTTGTTCTGTGTATCTAACCTGTCAAGTTCAAAAAGAGGTGTAGTTCCATCAAGCATCCCTAATGTGTCTGATGTTTTTGCTATGTTTTCAAAGTTATGGCTTAGGAGGGGGAAAAAAATCAAACTCCATGAAGAACAACAAAGGAAAACAGAAATATGAAACCAGAATCTTTTCCTGGGCAAGGAGGCATCAGCTTGCTGGACCCTGCAGAGCGGCAGCTGGCTGCACTCCTAGGCGCTACGAGATCCCCCAGACCAAGGGGAGCCAGACCTTTGCACCTCAGGTCCAGCATGAGGGACAGCGGGTGCCTCTTCAGCATCTCCTTGCGCTTGTCGTCCAGCTGAACTCCCAGTGTGGGTCGCCGGCGTTTCTGGACAAAGGAAAGGGTCGAGCCGGTAAGCACTGCTCACAGGAATCTCCCCCTTCCCCCTCTCCCTGCTGGCCAGGGCCTCACCACTGGGACCCGTGCTTCAGCTCTCCAGCTGCCAGGATCCCAGCTCCCTTTCTTTCAAACCTCTTTCTTCTGCTTCTAGGGAGGATGGCACCCGCCAACTAGTGGGCCCCTAGGGCAGCCGCTCGGCACTCCCCACACTCTCACCGTGGTCTGCTCCTCCTCAGCATCCGAGTCACTCTCGTCATCTGCAGCGACAGAGAGAAGGCAGCTCGAGGTGAGGGCTCCCAATTCTCCTGAGAGCACCTCAACCCAGGGCGCATAATAGGGCCCAGGCTTTTGTAAATGGGTTTCTTTAGAATAAATATTTGCTGCTTCTTATTCAGTATAGAAAACAGAGTGATGCAAGGAAAAGAAAAATGACTTATAATCCCATCACCCTGTTTTTTTTCAGTGATTTTTAATGTCATCCTATGGACCACAAGCTCCTCCACTGGTGGTGGTGGTGGCAGTAATAACAGTATATAAACAACAATAACAGAAGCTCATATAATTTGAGGGGTTACTGTGTGCTGAGGATGATGCTAAGGGCTCTGCATGCATGACCTCATTTAATCCACATAATAATTCTACATGAGGTATTACTATCTTGTTTTGACAGGAGAGTAAACTGAGGCTCCGAAACGTTAAAGAACTTCCCTAGGATCAGTGAGCTGGTGAGAGGCAGGCTGAAATCCAAAGGCAGTGCTTTTCCCTGTCTACCCCGAGCACTAAGACATTAAAGCTAAGCTCCCTGCCACACAGAACCAGTACGGCTAATTACCAAAGGACCAGCACTGGCCCTGGGTGGTGACCTGGCATTCCTGGAACCAGCTACAGTAGACGTGGGGGAGGATCCTGACCACCACTTACCTTGGGAGTCCTCGGGAGGCTTGAACAGAGCCTTGGCCTCATCCACGCTGCCTTCAATCGCCACAGACAACGTCTTATCTAGGAGCAAGAAACAGCTGTGAAAGTTGCTGAGAGATGGAGCTAAGCTACACGACCAGGCCCGCCCTGGGGCTGCACTTCCTCTGCTTCTGTCACAGCTTCTTAGTGACCAGGGCTGGAGGGCAAAAGTCCTTTCTCCAGATGAAGAGGAGCAAGGTGGGAAACCTAAGTCTTTTTCCCATCATTTACTGAAAACAAGGAACCCAAAATGCAGATTCCTGGCCAAGCATCACCTGAGACTAGGGGTGAATGCCTCTTTTCAGGCTTACACCAAGGCACAGAAATCCAAATCGATGGCCTAAAGCCACACGGCACAATTCTACCAACTGTCTTAAAGGTTCTCATCCAGAACCTGTAACTGTCCACATTCTGGAAACGACAGCTCTCCCCTCAGTTCTTATTCTCTGTTCTGCACTACACCTAGCACCTGGCACCTGTCTGATACCACAACATTTAACTGGGAGGCAGCAGGACAGTGGGTAGGAACCTGGAACCTGCAGTCCAGTCCCGGCCTGAGTCTCTGCTCAACCAACTCCCAAACTTACAACCTGGAAAGTTATGTCACTGCTCTGAGCCTCAGTTTCTGCACCTATGAAACAGGGACTTGACAAATGGTGGCTGCCCAGTTGGGTTAGGAGGACTGAATTTTAATTATAAAATTACTTTTAAAAATTAATTTTCAATCCTCACAGCAATCCTATAGGAGCAATACTATTACTCTAGCCATTTACAGATGAGAAAATTAAGGCTCAAGGAAGTTAGATACAACAGCCAAGAGGTAAATAAGCTAGGATTCAAGACCAAGTCTATTCAACTTGAGCTTGGTATCTCAAACACAAAGCTCAGTGGCCTGCTCCCTGCACCAGGCCTGACACCTCAATGAGCAATGCCTGGGCCTGCCTCTGTGCAACTCCGTGGGTCTAGCGCTGAGAGATCAGATAGGCCATCACCCTTCCTTCTCCATTCAAAAGGGTATACAGAGAAACAGATAGTCACAGGAGCCTGAAAGCGTTTGTTCAAGTGCACAAAGAGGGATGACAAACTTCCCCCAGGTGGCGGGCCCTTGGGATATTCCTCAGTGGCTGACCACTGCTTATCTCTGACAACCCTCATGAACCATCACACCTCATCCCAAACAAGCTGGCTGCCCCCATTAACACTGGCAAATGCTAGACTGTTCTTTTGACTAGTTTATTCCTGGAATTCTACAGTAAAATGGGAATGGAAACAGGCTGGGTTTTAAACACAAAAGAAAAGAAAATTACTCACCCTGTCTAGGGGGCTGGGAGGATTTCATATGAGCTGATGATGAAAACAGGAGGGAGAAGAAAGGGGAGGGAGAGATCAAAAGGACCAGGAAGACACAAGAAGAGAGACAGTAATGTGTTGATGCCCATGGCTGGGAGGAGAGGCATGCACTGGTGCAATGTGTGTCTGTCTGATGCAGTGGGGTGGGCGTAGGGAAGAAAACTTTAGGTGCTGGGTGAAAGCTTGCAGTAGGGCAAAAGGGAGGATCTCTAAAAGCTTCTCAAAATCCTAGTGGAGTCATGGGCTGCCTTCAAGCTTAATGAGGACACCTCCTCTCCTTCCGTAATTCACTGTTATGACATGCAGCCTGTTCCAGGGCTTGGTGAAAGCCTAAGACAGCTGGCTGGGACCTGTGTTCACCAAACCCTCTCTGTGAAGAGAGCAGGAGGCACTGATCCACCTGCCAAGTGTGCCTTGATGGGGTGAGTGCTTGGGAGGCCAGATAGGCTGCCTGGGCACTGAACACAACAGCCGACCAGTCAGGCTCATCCAAGATTCAAAGCCATCCATTCTGAAATGCCCATCAGGTTAGTCCAGCCTCAGGCAAGCTGGTCAAAACAGCCATGCCGGGCAGTGCAGAGGTCACCTGAGGGCTTCTGAGTAGGGCCAGGGAGCTTTCCTCAGCAGGAGGTGCTTCCAAATGACTCAACTGGCCACAGCTGCTGCTCCCACAGCCCCTCCCTGCCCAGCCCCCATACTCACCACAGGCTTGCCCATACGCAGTGGCCTGGACAAAGAGGACATAGAGGGGAGGTGGTAGGTGTCGGGCTGTCTCATACTGCTTGTGAGCTTGGTCGAAGGGCATAAACAGATACTCCTGAACCGGTAGGGAAGCCTGGGAGCAAGGAAGGAGGGATTTTGTTTTTCTTTTACAGGCACACACAGGAACATGTGGCTTCTTAGTTACTTAATATACAGTTTTTTATTTATGAAAGTGATAGCAGCAATAAACAGTAAGAAAATGAACTTTAAAAAAAGATACCATTTCGCCTAGCATCAAGAAAACATCAAATACCTAAATGTCAAAAGTGTGTCAACCTCTACACAAACACCTGAGAAATGAAAGATCTAAATGAATGGAGATATATGCCATGTTAATGGCCTCCAAGGCTTAATACCACCCAGATGTCAATTCTCCCCAAAGTATCTATGGATTCAATGCAATCCAATCTAAATCCCAGCAGATGAAAATAGACTAGCTGATTCTAAAACTTATGTGTAAATAAAAGAGGCCAAGAATAACAGAGATAATCCTGAAAAATTAAATTGGAGGACTTACATTATTGAGCATCAAGACTTCTGATACAGCTAGAGTAATAAGTCAGTGTGATATTGGTGCAGAGACAACTAGATCACGCACACACAAACCCAAACATATACAGATATCTGATTTATGACAAAAATGGCACTGCAGAACAGTGGGGGAAAGAATGGTCTTTTCAGTAAATGAATCAGCTGAATACCTATGTGGGGAAAGAATCTGACCTTCACCTCACACTATATACAAAATTCACTTCCAGGAAGACTATAGATTTCAATGTGGAAGGTTAAACAATAGGGCTCTATAAGAAAATACGAGAATATTTCCATGACCTTGGGACAGAGAAAGGAAAAGACTGATAACTGGATCGTATTAAAATTAAGAACATCTGCTCATTAAAGGATACTATTATGAAAGTGAAAAGGAAAGATATCTGCAGAAGACTCATCTCCAGAAAATATAAAGAATTCCGGGCAAGCCAACAGAAAAATGAGCAAAAGACTTTAACAGGCCCTTCACAAATGAGGTACTCCAAAAGCCAGTTAGTATATAAAATGTGCTGTGCTCAACGTCACTGGTCCCCAGGGAAACGGAAATTTAAACCATAAAAGATACCCTCCAGAATGGCTATAATCAAGAAAAATGACAACATCAAGAGTTGACAAGGATGTGGAAAATTAGAACTTTCAGATGGTGATGGTGGGAATTTCAAAAATCAGTACAATCACTTTAGAAAATTGTTTCACTGAATACCAAAGCTAAATATACGCATAGCATACTATGATCCAACAATTTCATTCCTGGGTATATATTCAAAAGAAATGTGTACACATGTACACCAAAGGACACGTGTAAGAAGGCTCCTAGTGGCATTATTCGCAACAGCCCCAAACTGGAAACACCCCAAATCAAACACTAAACATCAATGAGAATAAATGAACTCCTGGTACTCACAACAACCTAGATAAATCTCACAAACTGTTGAATCAAAGAAGCCAGACACAGGGCTTCCCTGGTGGTGCAGTGGTTGAGAGTCAGCCTGCCGATGCAGGGGACACGGGTTCATGCCCTGGTCCGGGAAGATCCCACATGCCGCGGAGCGGCTGGGCCCGTGAGCCATGGCTGCTGAGCCTGCGCGTCCGGAGCCTGTGCTCGGCAACGGGAGTGGCCACAACAGTGAGAGACCAACGTACCGCAAAAAGAAAAAAAAAAAAAAAAAAAAAGAAGCCAGACACAAAAGAATATGTATTATATCATTCCATCTATGTAAGTTAAAATACAGGCCAGGACTTCCCTGGTGGCACAGTGGTTAAGAATCCGCCTGCCAATGCAGGGGACATGGGTTCAAGCGCTGGTCTGGGAAGATCCCACATGCCGCGGAGAAACTAAGCCCATAGGCCACAACTACTGAGCCTGCACTCTAGAGCCTGTGAGCCACAACTACTGAGCCTGCATGCCACAACTACTGAAGCCCGTGTGCCTAGAGCCTGTGCTCCGCAACAAGCCACCACAACGAGAAGCCCGCACACCACAACAGAGTAGCCCCTGCTCGCTGCAACTAGAGAAAGCCCGCGCGCAGCAACGAAGACCCGTAGCAGTCAAAAAAACAAAACAAACAAACCAACAAAAACAGGCCAAGCTAACCTGTGATGTTAGAAGTCAAGATTAAAGGTTATGGGGTGGGGGGACAGTGACTGGGAGGGGAATAAAGTATCTTCTGGAAAATTGCTAATGTTGATTTGGGTGATTACACAGATGTGTTCACAAATGTGTACACAGGGAATATATCCACTGAACTGTGAGTATGCTTACGAGTTGTATGCTTTTCTTTATATAAAATTATTTTTTTAAAGTAGTATATGTACTTTTTTTTTAAAGCTGTATTCGAGTTTATAAGGCAAAAATTCCCAGTTCCCAACCACCAAAGGTAACTGTTAATGGTTTGGTGTGAAAACATACTTTTCTAAGCACATACATGACTTACACATATATACAGCCATTTGAATACTTTGTAAATGAAGGTATACAAATGGGATTATACATGTTCTACAACTTGCAGTTTTTGATTTCATAATTTAATAGATCTTTCTGTCCAGTTATTCTGTCAGTAACAGGATGCTCCATACTTCCATTATGGGTGTAAGACTGAACCACACAAGAATTTATTTAACCTGTACCCTATTTATTTAACCTGTACCCTATTTAGGAGCATTCAGTGTTTCCAGTTAACAGGAAAAATTTAAGTACAACCAAAATTTTTAGTTTCTGATTTTTGTCCCATATGAAGTGTTACTGAGCATATTTGTTAACTCTAATTCTATGCCTAGAGTTGAAGAGAAGAAATGTAGATCTTGCCAAATCCTACAAAAGTGAATTTTCAATTTCACTAGGGTCCTTTTACAAAGTTCCTCCATATTAGCCATTTACCCTGCTTTATAAAACTATGAAGATTTAGATCAAATTTGGCTTCACAAAGCAAACAAAAATCAGGTCACCCGTATAGAAAGAAATTACATTTTACAGGTAAAGTGGGGACTTTTCCTCCTAAGGTACCTAACGGTTTTCAAATATGAGTAAAGTTCTTTGCAGAGCAAGTAGATTTGCTGAGCAGCTGGCCCCTGTGGTGCAGTCAGGGGGATCTAATAGACATTTGTGGAAGCATGCTTAGATACCTGGGGACTGTGGGCTGGTGGAGATCATGCAAGGTGTAAACTAAACTTACAGTTTGTGAAAGCGTTTTACCCGGAATAGGCGCTGGGTGAAAAGAAAACGCCAAGGTACGTGTGTGTATACGTTCCAGAGCCAATCCTGCTAGCAATTCCTCCACACAGGACACAACCTTATCACACCTGCTGTGGGCATGCAGACGGGACCATCCTTGCACTGTGCTCTAACACTGATTACGGTAACAGACCCGACAAAACCCACAGGGTGATGTGGCTGCTGGTGGCCTCAGGTCAGCAATGTGTCACTGAGTGGTGAAGGCAAAGCAAAAGCCGAGGAGGTGGCACGGTGTGGGGAGACCCTCACCTGCATGATGCTGTTGAGACGAGGCTGGAGGCTACTCAGGTACTCCTTCTTTACTTCAATCTCCTTAAGGATCTTCTCCTTGTTGGACAGGCACTCTCGGTACTTCTCCGCCAGCCTGTTGGGGGAAGACAGAGCACTGTCGCCTGATGCTCTCCAGGGACACCCCAACACACCTGTTCACTATCAGACTCTACCTAATGACAGCAGTCACAATTATCTGCTAATGTTTACCTAGCACTTACTATGTGCCAGGCACTTTGGAAAATGGTGTACAAGCATTATGGCATTTAATCCTTATAAAAACCCGGGAAGACAGGAACGTTTTTTTATCCCCGAAGGAGGAAACAAAGGCTCAGGGAGGTAGATAACTTGCCCAAGGTCATCCAGTAAGAGCAAGCACAGAGCTACGCTCTGAACCCATGCCTGTCTGCTCCAGAGGCTGTGCCCATGACCACTGGTATCACCTACTGCTCCGTTTCTTGCCTCAGAGGCTAGACCCAGAACTTTCACAAATATATGGACTCAGCAGCTATAGGACACAAATGAGGCCCATGGACCTGAGTGGGGCAGAGTGGGGATAGATTCCAGACCAGAGCCACAGGAATGGAACACTTATGGCTTAGCCAAGGGCAAGTGATGTACTTGACAGGGGTGTGACAGGCCAGCCCCATCTGCTAAAAAACTGACACCAAGTCCCTAAGATCCAGACTCAGTACTTATTAAATTCATTATGTAGACCAAAGGCACAAAATATACTCAACAACAGAAAAAGGCAAGGAATTAAAAACAGCAGCTTCTCTGACAGAAAACAGAACAAATGTGCCAACCAAAAGCCCTGGAACTCGTGTACAAACATGAAAGGGAAAAAGGTCACCATGACGGAAGGGATGCAACCATAAAAAGTTCAGGATGAAAAAAATATACATACCATATTCTAAGGAAGATCTAGATTAAATTACACAGTATAGACATTCTACTTACGGTTAATAAATAAAAGCTCTTTATTAGTACAAAAAGTTTTATATGTAAAGGGGTGCCTCAAAGCATTATTTATAATACCAAAACAATGCAAACAACTTAAAGTCCAATTCAATATGGGAACAATTATGTGATTTACAATTTACCCTGGAATGTTGTACAACCTTCTAAAATAATGTTTGCACAGCTTTGCAATACCACACAAATATGCTTACAGGTGGGGGAAAAGGCAAAAAAAAAAAATCAGATTAATAATACAAAAGGTATTTAGGTCTTAGGCACTAAATTTTAAAGAAAAGGTTACTCTTTCGCATAACGGTGTTAAGCAATTCCGACCCCACTTATGATGCAGTTGGTCAAGTGTGAACTGCTAAGTGTGAATTAATCACAAAACGGGATTTGGTCTTAGAGACTATTCTGCTGGTTCCACAGTGCTTTGCTATCTGATCCTGGGTCAGGACAAAGCACTGTCCCTCATGGATAAAGGTCCATGTCTGCACAGGTGAACAAGGTCAGGAAGGAGGAAACGCTACCTTTTCCGCTGCTCCAGCTCCCAGTCCAGACGTGCAAGGGTTTGCTGGTGAGGGTCTCCCATGGTGACTTCCACCTTGCTGATATCTGGAGGAGCCTCCTTATAAAACTCCTCTAAGCTGACCAGATCGATTTCTTCGTGCTTTGACCTGCAGTCAAAAACTCAATGTCAGGGCTTCCCTGGTGGCGCAGTGGTTCAGAGTCCGCCTGCCGATGCAGGGGACATGGTTCGTGCCCTGGTCCGGGAAGATCCCGCATGCCGCGGAGTGGCTAGGCCCGTGAGCCATGGCCGCTGAGCCTGTACGTCCGGAGCCTGTGCTCCGCAACGGGAGAGGCCACAACAGTGAGAGGCCCGCGTACCGCAGAAAAAAAAACCCAAAAAACTCAATGTCAAGCTGCTGCCCTCAGAAACCCAAACTGTGGCTTAAACAGGCCCAGAATTCCACCCCGTGTACGTCAACTCAGCCCTGGTCTACAGCTACCCAGGAACCTAGAATCCAGTCTTCTCAGCAAATGCTCATTAGCAGGTGTTTTAATGTGAAGAGAGGTAGTTGGTGACATGCCACAGGATCCTTATCCATGTTGCCCAAGCTTTATATCCATGATTTAGCTGAAAACCTGAAAATACACTTATGAAATTTACAGCCCTCTCCAAGCTGTGCAAGAGAGCTAAGAGCTTAAAGAATCAAATAAAAACACCATGGTCTAGGTCTAGACTGTCAGGTTGAAACCAAGAAATGCCATTTAACAGGGATAAACATGAGTCTACACTTAAGTTCAAATTATTAACTGCCTAAATATAGCATGGGGAAGATCCAACATAATATGACCAGATGTGAAAAGATCTAGAGGCTCTAACTGTTGATGTACAGTGACACACAATAACTGAGATGGGGATTTTTATCTCCATTTTTCAAATGAGATAGAGGCTTCCATCAGTAAGCAGCTTGCCCAAGGTCACATAGCTAGGGAGAGGGAGAGCTGGGATTTGAACCCAGACTGTCTGATTCCAGGGCCCCTGATCCTTCCACATGGCCACCTGCCTCGCTACAGGGTTTGCTGGCTTTCATCTGAACAACGGTTACAGGTGGAGCATCCTATCTTTCTTCTTTTTAAATAGTACTATTTTTGAAACTTCTTGTAAGTCTTAAACTGAGAGTTTATTTCCTCCATGAACCCTTCTCCCAGGTTCCCCCAATGATAATATCTTATCTAAGCATAATACATTGTCAAAACTAGGAAACTGACAATTGTACAATACTATTAACTCAGGTACCTGATGTGGATTTCACTTCTATTAGTATTTAAATATTATTATGTGGATGGACTCGTGAAGCAGATAAAGAAACCTCTCAAAAATCAGCATACACCAGACCCAATGCCTAACGTGGTCCCCCTCATCCCAAGTTTATTACAAATAAAACCTGACTCCTTACAGTTTACACAAATAGATCTGACAAGGCAAGAACACGTTCCCTTTTCTTATTTTGTCTATTCCTTCCTCTTTCACATCTCTCAGCTTGGATTTGCCAAGGGGCATCACAGTTTAAGGACACTGACAAACTGTAGTTTGTTCACCTAAAGGCAGCTAGGCAGCAAGAAGTTCAGGTTCCAAATAATGAAATCCAGTTGCAAAAATGAATTGCTGGAACTTTAGAGAGGAAAGCTGGGCCAAAAGGTTAAAAAGATGTAATTGGAAGTGAGCTGCTCCCATACAACGTGCTCAGGAATCAAACTGGTAACGCAAAGGCTCTGCCTGCTGGGGAGAGACAACTGTTTTTCACCAGGTTCAGAGCGCAAAACTCAAAAGGGTCAGACAGGCTTCTGAGGTTCTTTGTGCAGCCTGGAACTACTGCTTCCAATTCTCCCACTCAAAGTGATCTATTCACCCTTCCCCCAGATCCTGTAGTCTCCAAGTGCATCTGACTTCTTTTTAAAATAAATGGCTCACACTGAGCTATGTAGGAAAAAGCAGTTACCAACAGACCATCTTGCCAAAGCCCTGTGCTCCAACACTCACTTAAACTCCAGACATTTGGTGATCTCCTTCTGCAGGTGCATCACCTCATACAACAGGTTCTGGAGCTGCAGATGATAGGCGTCCACTTTCTGCTTGGCCTGAAAGGAGGACAAGGTCAGAGGTGAGTGGGGCAAGTCGGGGTGGGGTGGGGCAAAGCAGAGCAGCAGCAAACTCAGAAAAGGGGTAAAGGAGATTAAAGATGGGGATGAGAAGGAGGAAGAGGAGGGTTAAATCTCTCAGCTCCTACCTCATGAGTCTGATCTCTTCCTTTCTTCAACCTGATGTGGGCTAATCGGTTAAGCTTTTTTAGAGTCATGAAATGCACACAGCTCTGGATCTTCCGATCTTCGATCTCAACTGCCTACAGGCCAAAAAAACTGGTAAAGACCTTGACAACAGGAGCTGGCTCAGCTTCCTGCAGCCCCTCACTGCTCATCCTCATCCAGAGTCAAAAACAGACACTGGGGCTTCCCTGGTGGCGCAGTGGTTGAGAGTCCGCCTGTCGATGCAGGGGACATGGGTTCGTGCCCTGGTCTGGGAGGATCCCACATGCCGCGGAGCGGCTGGGCCCGTGAGCCATGGCCACTGAGCCTGCACGTCCGGAGCAACGGGAGGGGCCACAACAGTGAGAGGCCCGCATACCAGAAAAAAAAAAAAAAAAGACACTGGAAGGAGCTCAGAACCATAAGAAGTGTCAGGGGAAATGGAATAATGACTGTATAAGGGAATGCTTAAGGTTCCCAGGCATAAAAAACTAATTTCTACTTGGACCAAAGTAACAGGAATCAAAGATGGAGCAAAGGCAGCCAATGCAAACAACAGCTGTCTCTACACAATGTACACAGAGATCCTAACAACGACAACATCATGCCATACAACTTGACCTCTGTAAACAACATTACAGAATAATTTAAATGAAAATAGCAGAATTACAGCTGTAAAACTTGACTACAGTAAAATAGATAGAATGTAATAATCTTAACAATATTGGCCAGTATAAGCACAAATAAGTGAGATTCCTGGAAAAATACGGATTGTTTTATTTTGAACTTACCCATTTAGTTTTCAGTCACACTGTTTTGCTTCTCTGCCCTGAAACCTTTTTTTTCATTTAATATTAATACTTTAATTTTTGGTCTCTGATTTATTTGTACATATCTAGCCTTACAATAGCAATGGTGATTGACATGTACCATTTCTCCACACCCAGCACTTAATAAATATCATTTGGATGAGTTATCAAATTACAGTTATGGAAAAAATTAATTATCCTGTACTTTCAGGACTGTAATTGATGACTGGGTGGTGATGTTACAATAAATTAATAGGCAGGTCTCTGGAGCCCTCAGGCTCTAACCCCATGATGATGGCAGGACATAAGATCAATATAAAGAAGGGCTCTCATAGGTGCGAAACAGGTCCATCCATGCAGACCCACCAGGTCCGTGTCTTCCCAGCCCCACTCCTTACCACATCCTTGCCTCCCCTGCTCTTCAGGTCCTGGATCTCCGCCATGAGCCTCTGCAACTCCTGGCATGTGTACTTGTACAGCTCATAGTCTCTGCCAGGGTCCCGCAGGTCCACCTCAGCCTCCTCGCTGTAGTATTTACCTTCCTGTGGAGGTAAGGATACAGGCCTTGGGTGGAGAGTAAAAGTCTCTCTGTTGGAACAGGGACACTTGGCTAAGATGAGTAACAATGAAGCCCCAAATCAGGTCTCTAAAGGATCTGGTCTGCAAATCAAATGTTTTTCTTTTTTTCAAAATGGAAAAGAATTCCTCTTTTCCTCTTTCTGATTATAAAGTAATGCATGCTTGGTGTCAGAGATTCAGAACAGAGAGAGGAGTATCAAAAACAAAACGAAAACTTGCCTATAATCTCACCTCCCAGCCTGAAGTAACTCCATTGTTAGTATTGTGGATAAATACATTAAAAAAATAAATAAGGGCTTCCCTGGTGGCGCAGTGGTTGAGAGTCCGCCTGCCGATGCAGGGGACACGGGTTTGTGCCCCGGTCTGGGAGGATCCCACGTGCCGCGGAGCGGCTGGGCCCGTGAGCCATTGCCGCTGAGCCTGCGCGTCCAGAGCCTGTGCTCCGCAACGGGAGAGGCCACAACAGTGAGAGGCCCACATACCGCAAAAAATATAAATAAATAAATAAATAAAGTAAAATGGGATCATATTGTTCATGCTATTTAGTGCAATTTCCCATCACAATAAATATAAATCTCCATCAAAATGGCTATATATAGATGAACCAGAATTCATTTAACCAAATTTCTACTGATGGGTGTTTAGACGGTCAAATCAAGCTTTAGCAGAAACTAAAATATCCTAATTGGTCTCCCAGACTTTGGAATAAACAAACACATCTCTTTAAGAGAGAGTCAGTTACAATTAAATATATTGCATTGCATATTTGAAAGTTGCTAAAAGAGTGGATCTTAAAAGTTCTCATCACAAGAAAAAAATTTTTGTAACAACTATGTAACACATTGGATGTTAACTAGACTTATTTCAGTGATCTTTTCACAAATAAATATCAATCATTATGTTGTACACCTGAAATTAATATAATGTTATATACCAATTATACCTCAATTTAATTTTTTTAAAAAAGAGTCAGAATCAATACCTCCCAAAGGATAAGGTTCTTCGTTAATTTTAATTTCCTAAATCTGAGGAAAGCATCATCTTCCATTTAAGTTGAAGCTGGTATGTTTCTCTATTCTAGTTAAAAAACAAACAAAAACCACAACCAACCAAAAAATCAAGTTAAGTCATACAATCTATGGACTGGGAGAAAATATTTGCAAGCGATGCGACCAACAAGGGCTTAATTTCCAAAATACACAAACAGCTCATACAACTCAATAACAAGAAACCAAACAACCCAATCAAAAAGTGGGCAGAAGAGTAAACAGACATTTCTCCAAAGAAGACATACAGATGGCCAAGAAGCACATGAAAAGATGCTCCACATCGCTAATTATTAGAGAAATGCAAATCAAAACTACAGTGAGGTTCCACCTCACGCCAGTCAGAATGGCCATCATTAAAGTCTACAAATAAATGCTGGAGAGGGAGTAAAGAAAAGGGAACCTTCCTACACTGTTGGTGGGAACGTAAACTGGTGCACACTATGTAAAACAGTATGGAGGTTCCTCAAAAAACTAAAAATAGAGTTGCCATATGATCCAGCAATCCCATTCCTGGGCACATCCGGACAAAACTCTAATTAGAAATGATACATGCACCTCAACATTCACAGCAGCACTGTTCACAATAGCCAAGACATAGAAGCAACCTAACTGTCCATCGACAGATGAATGGATAAAGAAGATGTTGTGTATATACAGACAATGGAATACTACTCAGCCATAAGAAAGAATGAAATAATAGCATTTGCAGCAACATGGATGGACCTAGAGATTAGGTACAAAGTGAAGTCAGTCATAAAGAGAAAGACAAATATCATATGATACCACTTACATGTGGAACCTAAAATATGACACAAATGAACTTACTTACAAAACAGGTTCACAGACACAGAGAACAGATTTGTGGTTGCCAAGGGGAAGGATGGATTGGGAGTTTGGGATTAGCAGATGCAAACTATTATATATAGAATGGATAAACAACAAGGTTCTACTGCATTGCACAAGGAACTATATTCAAGATTCTGTAATAAACCATAATGGAGAAGAAAAAAATTGTTAAGTCATAAATTAGCTTGACAGATTCAAGGACAGAGAAACAGCAAAAGAAGAACCTGCTGACTACGACAGCACTCAGGCCTCAGAAGACGTTCTTTAGCTACATGGTTCTGGTACCGTCTCGGTAGCAGACCAGGGATGTCACATCTCCAAAGCCTTAGTGGCCGCTGCGGATGGACTGCCTTCTTCTGACCATCAGGAAAGCTGGAGACACACACCATACTAGAATGCATTCTCTGTTCAGGCACTAATCGTGTCTAGTACAGGCTTGCTGGTTCTTGGGATGCTGCAGCTAAATCTGATATGGATTCTCAGGTCTTGAAGAGCCAAGGGAATTCCAGGCACCTGGTCAGACAGAGGCCACCTGGGAGGTTATGCCTATGACCCTCGGCTGCTGCAAACCCACAGCCAGGTGCTTGGCCACGAGCTGCAATTTCTCAGCAGCACAGCAGCCCTGGCTGATCTCACCTGTTCAGTGTCAGAACGATTACGCTTCCCTTCAGCTGGAGCTCCATCACTTCGGATCACTTTGGGCTTTCGTTTTTTGCTCGATTCCGATGACATGGTTGTTTGGTGAAGTCAGGAGGAAACAGCAGAGACCTGTTAAGAGGAGAAAGCTTCTGAGCTTTTCCAGAGTTGAAACTGGAGATTTTCCTAGAGTCAGAATACTGAAGTCTAACTAGCAGTTGTGCCCGCTTACACTCTTGGTAACTCAAGAAAAGTCATCAACCCTCCAAAGCCTCAATTTAATCCTCTGTAAAAAGCAGAATCATCCCTCAGCCTGTTCAAAATGAACTCATCTTCCCCAACTCCACCTCCTTTAAAGGCACCACCACAACCCCACTGACCAAACTCCTCAGCCAGGCACCTAAGCCCATTCTCAACACTACTGATTGATCATTGTGTGCTGGACCTTGATCTAAGCACTTCAAAGATATGTTCTCATTTGGTTCTTATAACAAGGATCCTCTCAGATATGAACAAGCACCATTTTCCAGGTGAGAACACTGAGGGTCAGGAAGGTGAATGACTTGCCCAAGGTCACACAGCTAGTGTGCTAAAGCTAGGGTCCAACCCATGCCACAGCAGTGCTCCTGACAACTACATTACTGTATCTTGTAGTGTTGCCACCATGTCATCTGGCGATGCCATCAACTCCCTGGTTGATGCGAAAATTTAAAAGAATAGGGACTTCCCTGGTGGCGCAGTGGTTAAGAATCTGCCTGCCAGTGCAGGGGACACGGGTTTGAGCCCTGGTCCGGGAAGATCCCACATGCCGCGCAGCAACTAAGCCCATGCACCACAGCTACTGAGCCTGAGCTCTAGAGCCCGTGAGCCACAACTACTGAGCCCACGTGCCTAGAGCCCATACTCCACAACAAGAGAAGCCACGAAGAGTAGCCCCTGCTCACCGCAACTAGAGAAAGTCCGTGCACAGCAACGAAGACCCAACGCAGCCAAGAAAATAATAAAAATAAAATAAAATAGAAAATAAAAAATTTAAAAGAACAGAACATACATTCATGGGCCTCTAGCGTCACAAAGTATCCTCTCTCTGCTACCTCTACTGACTGTCACCAGCAGCCCCTGAGGTGGGCAGCACTAACCCCCCTACCCCAGTGAATCTGTCACCAACACTTATTGAGGGAGCCAATGCCTCAACAGAGTCAAGTCAGAGAAACCCTGGGCTGGAGTCTCCAGTCCTCTATTTCATGGCTATGACTCCTGCGACAAGTCACTTCACTTTTCTCTGCACCTACTTCCTCCCATATCAAATGAAAATAGCCATCCCTACCTCAGAGGTGGCTGTGGACATTAATGCAGGAGGCGCTCCACTGGGGCAGGTGATGAAGATGATCTGAGAACAGGGCTTTAGATGGTACACAAGTGGTTAATAATGTTAAACACCTACGGAGAAAGTTAATTCCTTTCAATTCTTTTTAGAAACTTCTGATCGCTTCAAGAAGAACGTGTCATTTCCCTAGTTAGTCTTTAACACCTATGAATGACAACGTCCTTTTGTTAACAAAAGGACTCTATCTCAGATCCTTAGACAATGAAATCTAGCCACAATTATTAACGATAACCTTTACATATTAAATACATTAATTTTTATCACTACCTTCTGCATAGGACAAGTGAGAAAAGTTTTCTATTTATGGTAAAGATTTAAATTTTTCTTTTAAAGTAAATTTAAATTTTAAAAGTGACTCAATTAAAAGCCTTTAGTAAACAATCGTACAAGATAAGTTGATTTTTCACAGAGGGACCCGAAAAGCGTTAAGTGTGCGAAATCCTGACTTTGGCAAGACAGCAGACAGTGCCTGGCACACACAAGCGCATAATAAATGTGAGCTGATATCACCACCACCGTGGTGGCCGTTATCTACAAGCTGCCCCATAAGGCCTGACGATGCTGCAGCCACCATTTTCCACAGGAGGAAAGTGAGAGTGCGGCGCCGAGCGGCCGGGGTCCCCGGAGAATGAGGACGGAGAACCGGGTCAGACCCCAGGCCGGGGACGCCCTCGGGAGGTCCGCACACCAGTCCCAGCGCCCCCAGCCCCACCCCGGTCCTCTCCTCACCACACCGCGCCCCGACCTGTCCCGGCCAGCGAGCCACTTCCCGCGGCTCCCGCACCACAGAGAAGCGGAAGGAAGGAGCGGCCGACCGGAAGTGAGGCGTGGAGGCCGGAAGCGGAGCGCGAAGGGTCCCGACGCAGCCACCAAGCGGTGCGGGCGGCTGCTGGGCTGCGAGGGGTCTAGGAGATGGTGGCACCTGGGTTGTCTGGGCGGGTCCCAGCCGGCCAACAGCCTCACGCTGCCCTCTGAAACCAGGAAATCGAAGTTGCAAGGGCAAAGACTATGTGCCTCGTTCATTCTTTCCCCAGCGCCTAAAGCTATGCCCAGCAACTAGTAGGTGCTCGGCCAAGTATTTGTTGAATGAATTTGTCGAGAGCCCAAGATAACGCAAGAATGTAGTAGTGCCATGATTGGACACTTGTGAATTTGCTTCCATAACCTGGATTCTTAACCACTGTCATACTCACCCGAACATCCCACACTAGCGAGAGCAGCAAGTCAAGGTGGGCATTAATCCCATCTTACCCCGCCTCTTTTCCCCCACAAGTTCATCCCCATTTTAGGCCCGATTTGCCCTAGGGCAGAGTCACAAATCTAATGCAGCATTTGACAGCTTCAAGTATTTTCTACCCCTGGTATGAATTGTACTGATGAGGTTCAGTAAATCCTACTCATCTGAAGATAGAAACACTGATGTCCTGAATCCCTGGTTATGCAGTGTATTTCCTTCTGCCGTAGAAGGAGGCCCTCCCCAAAAGTAGCTCAGGGAACACAATAACCTCCAGTGGGGTAGATCAGCCAGGTGGACCTGTGAAGCTGGCCCTGCCTGGGGCACTTGGCAAATTTCCTTGCAGATGAAGAAAAGACACCATGGTTATAGTAAATATTTAACTGGTTCCATCAGTGACTCCACCACAAGTTTTCCTGAAACGGAGGCAGAATCAAGATACTCAGAAGTTCATGAGGTGTGGGGGTCACTGAGGAGGTCCCCAAAGTCACTGACCCCACTAAACACACCTGATGGCCCAGTGGAATGAGGGTTGGGCTGAGAGAATGTGAAGAGGGAGAAAAGGAACACGGGGTGAGGGAAATACGGGACCTAGTCCGTAGTTCTGCCTGCAGGAAGACAATAGGGAGGGCAGAAGACACTCCCTGCACAGAAGGGCTGGAACAACTTGTTCAAGTTCTCAACCTCATTATGTGGGAAGAAAGAGATGCACCTCTCTCCAACTGTCTTGTATTAGGAACCCCTCCCCAAGTGGTCTTCTGTCATCTCTGTTCTATCTTCCCAATTCTGTATTCCAAATTCTTCAGTGCAAACCCAAGTTCTGAGTTCTAAGTTCTACCTTCTGGGTTCCTGTTCCATTCTGCTTCCCTCCCCCAGCTCCTTCCCAGCTCCCATCCCTTTTCCCAGCCTTTCTGGGTGAAATATGTGGATGTCCTGCTGACTTAGCTAACTTGAGGGTTTTCCCTTTTGCTTCTTGAGGCAGTTCTAGGCTTTTCTCCAGCAGAAGGGACTTGGCTCAGACTGTCCACCAAGTGGGTGGCCCAGTAGAGACCAGGGAATTCCTGAGAGCCTGGCCTGGTCTGACCTCCTCCCTTCCCACCCCACCTCTAACCAATGGACACACTACCTTTTGTACAACTTAAGCAAAGCTGAGGATTTCCATGGTGATGATTATGGACTGGTGGCCTTGAGAAGAGGAATCTTAGGGGAAAATGTGAAAAGACACAAAAGGTTGCTGTTCTTCATTCAGAGAAATTAACAACTGCTTCCAGCAAGGGGAACAGGTGTGCGGGGAAGGTGGGAAGGGTCTGGACAGGGCTGCGAGTCCTCAGAACCCCATCATCCTTCAGCTCCCCCTTCTCTGAGCTGAGCACTACTCCCAGAGTCCACAGAGTCTGAGAGAAAACCAAGACATCAGGGCTGGGATCTCCTCTGTCCATGGCTACCCTGAGGGAGAGCTGGGAGGAGGTGGAGGCAGCGGCAGCATCACTGGAGAGGTGAGATCTTCAAAGGGATCATGATCCGAGACTCCATGTGTCGAACCAGGGGGACTGCAGAGAGAGAGGCAGAGGTCACGAGGGGGCTGAGGTGAGCCAACCGCCCAAAACTAGCCCCTGAAGGAGGAGGAGGCCTGGGATGCTGAGACAGGGAAACCCCACTGCTCTCCTGGAATGGCCCATGGAGAGCGCCACATCTCCCAAACTGTGGGATATGAGGGGACTTAGGCTGTGATGAAAGGCAGCTTTTAAAATTTTTCATAATTGGGACTTCCCTGGTGGTGCAGTAGTTAAGAATCCGCCTGCCAGTGCAGGGGACACGGGTTCGAGCCCTGGTCCGGGAAGATCCCACATGCCGTGGAGCAACTAAGCCCGTGTGCCACAACTACTGAGCCTGCGTGCTGCAACTACTGAAGCCCACATGCCTAGAGCCTGTCCTCCACAAGAGAAGCCACCGCAATAAGAAGCCCGCGCACTGCAACAAAGAGTAGCCCGCGCTCGCCGCAACTAGAGAAAGCCTGCACGCAGCAACAAAGACCCAACACAGCCATAAATAAATAAATAAATAAATAAATAAATTTATTAAAATTTTTTTTTCATAATTATGTATTTACTTCCTATGTATGTGAAAAAACAACCAGCATAGCTTAAAAGTGATTTCACAGATATTATTGCTTAGGACAAAGCTAGGTGAAGAACAAAGCAGGGGGATTTAAAGGATGAGATCAAGAAAATAATTGTAGCAGAAGAAAATTGGCAGGACAAAAGCTGTGAGGGTGTCCTCAAGGGGCTAAAGTTTGAAAAACACTGATTTAGTTCAACTGACTCATTTTACAGGTGGGGACACTGCAGCTCAGAGTGGGTCACCCCAAGGTCACCAGAAGGTCAGACTCTTTCCTCCTGCTCAGTGCAGTTAAACTTTACCATGCTTACAAATTACCTACAGTTCTCGTTCAAGTGCAGATCTTGATTCAGTGCGGGGAGGTAGGGGGTTGAGATTGGGCATTTCTAACAAGCTTCCAGGGGATGCTGACACTGTCATTTGGGACCACACTTGGAAGAGCGAGGCTCCCGCTAACTCCTTCAGGAGATGCATTCTCCCACACACCAGCTGGTAAGTGTGGAAGCTCAGCTGTAAGTTCCTTAGGGGCAGGGCATTCTCTGCCTCCCAACTCCCACCCACCACAGTCCCTGGTACACAGTGAGTGCTCACCCAGCACCTACTGACTCCAGGTGGTTCCCAGGGGTCCCTGCAAAGTGGCAAATGCTGTAGGCAAAAAACTTGCTCGAAAAAATTGACTGTGCGCCTCCTCTGCGCCATAGTCTAGGCCAAGCACTTTTCATAAATTAGCTTCTCCAGCCCTCTGAGGGAGGCTTTCTCACCATTGCCACCTTACAGATTGAAAACAGCATCAGTGAGGTGAAGAACCAGGCCCAAGGTCACACTGTGTGCTCAACTACAACACTTCTCTGAGGCAGGGACCACCTGGCTGTGTTATTGCCCCTTAGGGCACTCACCCAGGACAGCCTGCATCCCGGGGAGCATGGCACCAGGACAGGAACCTACTAACTCATTGTCCTGAAAGTGAGTTCTCCATCACGAGAGGTAATCAAACGAGGTCAGATCTACTTGCAGAGGGGATTCCATCCTCAGATAGGGCTCTTGGCAGATGACCTCAGAGGAGGTGCTCACCTGTGTAGTAGACATTTTCGTCCCAGCCCCTCTTCCTCCAGGCAGCATTTCTGGTCTCCTCCCGAGACTGCAGGTCTTTATAGGCTGTGGCGGGAAGGCATAGGCTCATTCCTGAGGCACAGAGGATCTGAACCTGTACCCAGCACAAGGCCCTCCTTCCGGTGCCCCAAACCCTGCCCTGCTGTCTCTTCCTCCCCAGATGCCTCCAACTGTTAGCAAACACTGTCTGCTTTGACAATCTCATCCAATCAGTACAATTCTTGTGTATTTCCAGCCCAGAACTCTCCCTTGAGCTCTAGACTCGACTATCCAGTGTCCACTTGACATTTCCACTCAGATGTGTCAGTGTCTCAAATGTAACACTTCTAAGGACCAAAAGTACACTCCTGACTCTCCAACCTGCTCCTCCAAGGGTCTCAGTAAGCAATACAGAGCTGCTCAAACAGGAGTCTTGGTGTCCTAGGGTCCTCTCTCCCTCCCCCACCCCAGACAGACAATTCATCCACCAGTCCGATTGGTTCCACCTCCAGATCAAAGAATCTGTGGACTTCTCAGCATCCTCACTGTCACCACCTTAGGCCAGGCCACCATCCTCTCCCCCCTGAGCTACTGTAACCATCTCCTGATGCCCCACATCCTCTCTTGCTCCCCTACAAAGTGCTCCCAACAAAGCACATGGCAGCCAGAGGAACCATTAGAACACAAATCAGGTCATTTCATGCTGCTTGAAACGCTGCAGCAGTCGCCCGCTGAAGTTAGAATAAATCCCAGGAATTCCCTGATGGTCCAGTGGTTAGGACTCTACACTTCCAGTGCAGGGGGATCAGGTTCGATCTCTGGTTGGGGAACTAAGATCCCTCAAGGCTCGCGGTGCAGCCAAAAAAAGAAAAAAAAGAGAAAAAGAAAAAGAATAAATCCCAACTCATCTCATCCCCATGGCCTGCAAGACCTAGTCTAACCTGGTCGATCCACATCTTCCCACTCTCTTCCCCACTCCCTCCACACAGGCCTCCTTTGCACTCCTCAAAACCCTGAAGGCCTTTCCCCGCCGCAGGGCCTTTGCACGTGTTGTTCCTCTACTTGGAATACCCTTCCCTGGCAATTCACAGCTGACTCCTCATCCTTTAGCTGAGCTTACATTTCACCTCCTTAGAGAGGCGTTCTAGTCTATCTAAGCCAATGAAACTTCCCATATTTTTCTTCATTATTTCTCCCTCTCTCTTTATGATTTGTAATAATCTGAAATTATCTTTTTTGTTACTTTATGTCTGAGGTGGTATCTCCCTCTGCTGGAATGTAAGCTCCACAAGGGCCCTAATGTATTCGCATTGTTGACATGGACTGAGAGTAGAGAAAGGGGGCCACAGAGGGTCCTGGAGGGTCC